GCTGCTGCCATGACTTGGAGAATCCAACTCTTGATGGCTGACAGCTCCTAACAAGGAATTTAACTAGAGATCTGAATGCATAACTTGGGCATATCAGGTTTTAACACCGTAGATATACCTTAGCAGACCTGATTTAACAGGTAGAAACACAGCCTTTTAGTGGAAGCTCTATCTGGACAGAGGTTGTTCTGTGCCTAAGACTTTGTATTGCACAAGTGTTGAAATACACAAATCCAAACACTGGAAATAAATTACTTGTGTTACTGCCCAGCAAACACAGAGAGAAGACGGATGTTTGTGTTACAGTGTGTTGCTCTACATCTTCAGGATTGTTTCTGCAGTTACTGTGAAGCTGCTAATGCATCATCATCAGTGCGACAGCCTGCAGCTTGGGCTGGCAGCGATATTAGAATTCGTTATGTGTTCTAACATCATTCTTCTCTCTTTTTCTTCCTGCGTAAATGTGGAATCTGGAGAAGGGAGGAACATAGGGCACTGGTATAAGATTTTCCCTGTTATTGGTTTCCTAGAGATTGCTTTAGTTTTTACAGCTGCCAAAAACTTTTTCTACATCTGTGTCAAGAAAGTGGTCACGCTATTCTGAATATTAAAAATTTATCTTACAGAAGTTGCATTATTTTCTGATAAAAATCCCTAATATACTTTCCTGATGGGTAGCTGACGTGTGATAAGCAAAATGTATCATAAGGGCAGTAGAAAAGGGTGGAAAAACAAATGTCTGGTGATTTTAACTGTAAGAAGAACAAAATGAAAAGAAGAAAAAACTTACGTATCTCAGGACAAAATGACTCAAAGATAATAATGGGACAAATACTACTACTAAGAGGCATGGTCATGCCAGCCTGAAGATAAAAAGCACATACAGACACTGCTACCTCATTTATGGTTTCTGTCAATGTGTTTTGAATGTCATTAGTATCTTCTTTCCCATGCCATTTTAAGCACTGTGGTTGAATACAGTTAGGGGAGTAATAGTCTGCTGACATTTCTGACAATCTCAGGTGAGCACGAGTTAAACACTTGTCAGAATATTACATGGCATTCAAACACTGGGGTGTTTTCCCAGGATTTTAATCCGCACTTGTTTGTATTCTGCATGCCTAAAGACATTCACAGAGCTGTAGATAGCCTGGATGCTTTCTCAGTGTTCTATTAGAAAATCACACCTGATTTGCCAGTTGTGTTTCAGCAACCAACCAACCTTTGCTAAAATTATGAAGTAAATGAACAGTGAACAGAATTAGAGATGATCCTGAGGGTCAAAAAGAAGCGCGAAAGTAAAATGCATTGACAGAATGAGCTAGAATGGGAATGCTGCAGTCCAGCTTTCCTATAATGCTGACCTGGAGCAAAAGCAGAACAAAAGCAGAGTAAAAGACACTGAGGTTGGGGGTTTTGTTCGATTCTTTTTTTTTAAGTCTGTTTTAACAGATTATACTTCATTTCTTGACTTTATCAGAGACTTAGAGCAGAGGGTGAGATTACTTAAATATTCCACTGAGTAGTTCAATGTCAAAAGTGTTGTTCTGCTGTAAAAGCAATAATAAAAAGGAGACATGATTTGTGAGATGAAAGTGAGAGAACTCCTTTGTCTTTTTGATACTGTGTATATATAATAGTAGAATGGAAAATCCTCAGTTCCAGTGCAGAAATCTATATGTCTTGCAACCACTAGATTAAAAAAACCCAACAAAAACAAACAAATGAATGAAAAAAAAACTATCAGAAACCTCTCCCCAACCAACTAATCAAAACTATATATAAAATTATACATAATCTGCTGAGAAGTACCAGTGTGCCCAGTTTGTGTGTATGCAATATCCTTTGTGTGGTTATGTTCTTGGCCAACCATGAAGAACAGTAGCTGTGTGTGTTCCACAAATTTTCTAAGCATTGCACAGTAATCGAGTTTGGAAGGGGCCTTTGGAGGTCATGTGGTCAACCTCCTTGCTCAAAGCAGGGCCAGCTTTACAGTTAAATCCACTTTTGAGTGAATTCTGAGTGTTTACCAGGCTGGAGATTTGGCAGCCTCTCTAGGCAGCCTGCTCCAGCACATGATAATCCTCACAGTTAAACTTCTGTTCTTTGCATCAAATAGGAATTTCCTTTGGTACAGCCTATATTAATTGCCTTTTTTCTGAGTAATATTTGGGATGAGTCTGGCTCTGTCTTCTCTCCAGCTACTACTTAAGTGGCTGGAGATGGCAATTAGATCCCTGCATCTCTTCTTCCAGCTAAATGAACTGAATTCCCTCAGGTTCTCATGTGCTTGAGAACTGTACTTGTTTTGGTAAACCTTTGCTGAACTCATCCAGTTTGTCACTGTTTTTCTTGTACTGGGGAGCTCAGAAGTAGATAACACTACTCCATTTTTTCCAGTGACCTGTGCTGAAATTTCCATTTAACTCGAAAAGAGCTCGAAAAATTTTTCTGAATTTCCAACATATAAAAGGTGTATGCTGTTGATATATTATCAGCCAGCAGGATTTATAAACTGACAGAAACTGGTTGATGGTAAGAGCTAAAAATGTTCTACCTACTTATTTGAAGATAAAGTCAGGAAACTGAATGAAAACATGTGGTTAAAGAAAAGTCATGTTGGTGGCAGGGCCACACTGCCTGAGTCAGACTGTATTCTTTCCAAATTTTCAAGTTGAAGGTTGTTCTCAAAACCACATCTATTATAAGAAGTTTGTATGGAGGAAAGTCTAAATTATTCTCCTTGTAGGAGGATATAGTCATGCCCATGTGCTCACCTTTCAGTCATGCCTCCTTGAATCTTTTGCTAGGAAGATGTTCTACCTGTTCTTTACCACTCTTCCGTCTATACTGTGGCATTTCCATAATGAAGGGTGTCAAGCAGCTTTTGTTACTCTCTAAATTTATTTAAAAGCATCTTTCCAAGCCAATCTAGTGGCAACCTAAAACCAAAGTTGTTGACCTAATTAATGCAATGTCCACAGTGAAAAGTTTGAGCAAAAAAAGAGCTAATGACCTCTTAAGATAGTGTCCACCTGTAAACTTCTGTCTAATCCCCTATTATCCCCTTGTCTTAAAAAAAAAAAAAAAAAAAAAGAAAAAGAAAGAAAGAAAGAAAGAAAATGCAAAACTGGAAGGAGTTTCAAGAAAGTTGCTAAATTTGTTGTATCAAAATTTTGATAGAGATACTGAGTAAAATATAGAGAACTTCTAGAGGAATTATAACTACATTAGGAAAATTTGTAAGTAGAGTATCTCTCCAAAAAGCATGTTTTGGCTGTTGGGAATGGTAGCTCAAATGCTGATCATATCTGCCATACTCAAGTCTAACAACCATCTACTTGGTGTCCTTAGGAATACCTAAAGGATGATTAGTATGTGAATATCCTTGTACAGTATCTTCTGTGCAATTCAGTGGTAAGTCTTCTGCCAGAAAGCCCTTGAAAGAAAGGGTTCATATTGGGAATTTCTTCACAGAGACTTTTGTTAAACTATCACTTATACGAGTGATTACACACCAGATACACTAATGTCGTTTTACAATTCAGCTGACAACTGTGCAGTGCAGTGCTGGTGACGCTAACTGGCTTCAGTCAGCCTTCCAGTACACAATAAAGCACATCTGCATACCTAGGCACCTTTACACATTTGGAACATGTCCTATGTTTATAATATGGCCATCTGCTAGAAAAAAAAAATAGTACAACATTTTGGTCATTTTTGTGTTTCATAGACACAGCATGACTGACTAAACAGGATATCGGGAGTTCAATAATATATTACCTTGATTACCCAGAAAATGCAAGTGCCTAGCTATGTGTGCTAAACATCACAGCAAACCAATATCTGAGATGCCATTTGGAACATAAACAGTGTCATTTGCCCTGCCCCTTGAAATTTAAGTGACTGTGAAAACGTGCATTAAACAAATGCTTTCAGTTTGTTCTTTGATCATTGAAGTAGTGATGTAAATGGCTCTAGTAACCACAGTATTGTGAAGACTGCACAGCAAATTCTCAGTGCCATTTGAATGAAGATTTTGGACTATGATTTGCTCTGTCTTTTGTATCTAGAAACACTAGAGACCAAATCCTCTGTGCTTCTTTATTTTGCTGTTCCAGAATATATCAATTTTACAAGCTTAAATTCCCATACAGTGACGGCATGGGGGGCTTCCACATTTCTCATTAACACTGCTTTACACATTCCGCATGTGTACAGAAGCATGAGTAAGTTTGGTATAAATACTAAGGATACAATATTCTGGTCTGTGAAAGCATCTGAATACATAATAGGGGTTTACTGAAGTCAGCAAGAGTTAAATACATGCTTAAGAGGTAACCAAGAAAATATTTGTCCTTGCTGAACTGGGAGTTCTGTGGTAAAAGGAATAGATTACACCCAACCCTCTGAGAGTATTTCTCCGTGCTGTAACACTCCATGCTTTGAAGAAATAAGATGTAAGATATAACTTCAGTGCCTCACAAACTCCTTCTAAGGCATATATATGTCTATCTTTAAAGCAAAAGCTATCCTCTTCAGATTTTAATGAGCTTACCAATGGCTGAAGTAGCAGAATGAGGAAAGAAGAAAAAGACTGAAATTACATTTTTTTAACATTGATTGATAAAAATCTTGATTTCCTCGTTATTTTTTCCTATATTTTCCTAGAATTTATTTTAACATTATAAAAATACAAATATTGCCTCTTTCATGAGTTTATCATTAATGCACTGTTTTAGAGTCTACATATTTAAGCAGAAAACAGTTCCCAAAATGTTAAGTATGAGTTTAAAATCTGTTCAATAGATTCTTTACATCTCAGATTAAAAAAGATGAAGTAATCTTCATTTGCAAATACAGGATATTTATCAAAATGCATTGCTTCTTAATTAGAATATTGCTTTGTTCTGACCACTAGGTGGTGCAAATGCCTGCAAGTATGTATGTCTGCATGGGAATGTAATGACAGTTATAAATATTATTTTTCTGATCAACAGATATTTCCTGGACTGATTCTCTCAGACATTAAGCCTGCAAAAAGAATGAAATTCAAGACAGTCTGCTATCTGCTTGTTCAGCTCATGCACTGTCGTAAGATGTTCAAAGCAGAGATCCCTTTCTCCAATGTCATGACGTGTGAGGATGATGATAAGGTAATCCATGTGGGCCATGTGCACTCTTTGTGCATCAGTTCAGGACTGCATCCAGCAGATTTGCTTTGAGAACATAAGGGGTGATGTTATCGACTGAAAGAGAAGTTTCTGGTGTTCCTACTGGAGCTGAAGCTAGCGTTATATAATGCTCACTGTAAAAACAAAATTTAAAAAGGCCTCAAATTTGTAGCACCTCTTGGAAAAACCAGTAGAGGTGGCTTATGGGGTTTCTATTAAGGGCTTCCTTCACATAAATTAGAGTTTCTGAGGCTTTTTCCATCATTTTGAAGAGATATTATTGTGCATCTTTTGTCCATCACAGTCTGAAGCTATTGATGGCAAATACAAAACAACAGAACAATTTTATATCTCTACCTGGTTCTTTAAAACTGAAAGGCAAATGATTAGTCAAAATTGCTCTCAGTCCCTAATACAAATCCTAAACAGAGAAGTTCCTAATACAAATTCCGCTCTCTTGGATGCCTTGTAATGCCATAAATCAAAATTGCTTTACATACAAGTAGCCTGATTTACTTCCTTTTCTGTACATGAATCTACCCAAAAATTTATGAAAAAAACCCTTTAGAGTTGCTCGTTCCATTTTCTTAGCCAGCAGGTGGCAATATTACATAGTCACTCCACCAGTGAGAGGTGTCATAATGTGCATTGGAAGCAGTAATTCAGCTTGACTGATTGCTCCACATTATTTGGGGGGGAGGGTTGTTTGTTAGGGGTTTTTTGTTGCTATTTTTGTTTAATAATGTACATTTATTGAAGATTCAGTCTAAATCTTACTTTCAGAAAGCATTCAAAATTTCATATTTTGGGTTTTACATATGCTTGTGTTTGTTCTGCAGGAAAAGGGCAGAAAAGTCTGTTAGTATCTTTAAAACACATTTTCAGTGAAGACTTTCAGAAACTCCAGATTTTATTTTGAAACTAGCCATGTACAAGACCTTCCAATTGTGAATTAGTGCTGTCTTTGACTATTTAAAAAAAGGAACCCACACATTCTTTGAAGCATATGCAATATTTTGCATTGTGTCTTGTGTATATGTGTATATAAATATGGTAATATACACAGAAAATACCCATATGAGTTTGCTATGGATCTGATGAAAATTTTTGCATGTCAGAACATTTGCAATGAAGTTCTAAAATGCTGTTATTATCTGAAACAATTGTTCTGAGCTTCTGTAACTTTTATGTAAAAATTATCATGGATTTATATTATATGTTATTAATATAAATACACTGTGTTGCAGTGCAGGGTTTCTTCAGAGCTTTCAGTCCTCAAATCATGTAAATCAGGTAAAACAAGCAGGGCTTTAAAGGCTTTGAAGCCAGTACATTTCTGGGAAATATAAATACTGACTTGATCACATATAAGACAATGTAAGTCTGCTGTATGAAATAATAATAGAGATAAAAATAAGAGACACAGATGAAATCATTATTTGTAAGGAACAGCTATTTTGATTAAGAGCAGTAACTTTAACCCTATTTCAAAATGCCAGAATAGATAGTATAATTTATTCCATATATCAGAATAACACCCATCATCTACCCTCCTTCCAGGTTTTAAAGCAAAGAAACATTCTTTTTAAGTGGTATTTTGCTCACCCCGTTGCTATACTATAGGCTTAAATTTGAATTGTAAAACATCCCCGAAGATGTTCTTTCTGCTTCACCTTATGCAATACATATGGTAACTAATTATTGTTTATGTCAAGTAAAATTATGTATTCCTGACAATATTCTTGAAAGCACTCAGTTTCCCTGCAAACTAGTGGGACAAATGTCTTCTGCAAGAGAACAAATTTTTCTCTTTAGAAACACTGAGAATAGTTGTTTGGCTGGCAATTTAAGATTTCAATTATTCCTAACTGTACCCAGAAGATCAGAATTGAGTCCATGTAAGTCCCCCAGATAATTTTTTGTGTTGAAACAATTAGTTCTTAGACCACAGACAATTTACCAAGTAATGGGATCTGATAGTTTGAAGAAAAATGTTTCAAGTAGCCTCATAATTGTTTAGTGCTGGTATAACCTCCTCTCTACATACAAATCCAGCAAAGCAAGACTGGGAAAACTATTTTTATCTTTGCTAAGGTCCATTTTTCTTTATGATCAGAAAGCTAACATGTCAGTCAGTAGATAACCCTTCCCACTGTTCATACGTATTCAGGTATAATATCCATATAACATAAGCTATGTAAGCTAATGAACTGCTGTACTCCACAGTTTGTTTACTGATGAGGATCTCATAAGAACTTTTTGTGGAATAAGACAGGAAATGGCCATTCCTGCAGGATTACTTAAATAGCAATCACCTTTTTTTTACTATCTGGTTTAAAAGGGTATTTTGTAGTGTAGCCTTTAAAGAGGGGCTTATTAAGTACTGACTGCTCTGAAGAGAGAAATTTTGTTTGCTACTTTAACGTCTTGTTGACAGACTCTACTGATTATATCCTGAGCAGACTTGTCATTCCATAATGTTTTGAATTGTCTTGAACTCCGCAGATGTTAGATAAAAAAGTATTCCTTTAACTCTATAGAAACAGTAGAACTTGCCCAAGCTTGGTTGTCAAAACTCTTCTGAGAAGTAAGGCTTGATCCCTCTCTGTTCATACTAGTACAGATCTAGCCATAATGGTTTAGATTACAATGCCCTCAACTGATGGTTGCCACCAGTGTGACGGAGATGCTGCTCATGGTCTCCCGAGTGCTCTCCGTGAAAAGCAAGACAGCTTGTCTAAAATCCCTTTCAGATACTCTCTGTGATAAATATTTTCCACGGAAAGGGACTATGAGTGATCATCTTGACAGTCATGCTACTTCAGCCATGAAGGAGCCAGTTAGGCACAGGTGAGCTCTGATAATTTATTGGATTGTGCCATCTGGATCTGCAAGACCCTTGGGTGAGTTAAAGATAGGAACACTTGAGATTTCAGGCCCTCTGAAGTCACACATGATCATTGTGTAAGTAGTTAAGGAAAATTATCTTTTCAAAATACGTATTGCTACCTAGACAGTAGGACTTTTCTTGTGTCATGAAGAGCCTGATTATATTGTCTTCAAGATGTCCAGAGCTTCACACCTTCTGTCAAGAAAAAATAATTGCAAGGTAAAGTCACACTGATTGGGAACCAACTGATTATTTCCTCAGTGGCAGAGAAGTGTCAGGGCAGTGTATGAAGAGAATTCTGGATTAAAATCCTGGAATGCAGTGGTGGTGGGGCTCTCATTGGTTTGAATGAAATCAGGATTTCGGCTAAGGAGTTTTTACAAGATGGCATTCGCATGGAGATAAGATCTCTGTCTTTTGTAGTTGCTCTGTTTAATGAACGCCTCATCTTGACTGTGTGCTTGAGGTAATATGAACTGCAATTAAAAATTTCAGTGCTAATAAAATCTGTGCTTCTTCCTTCATCTGTGCCACAGAGGAGAGCATTAAGGACAGCCTCTGAAAAACTCAGGAATCGTTCCTCTTTTTCTACCAATGTTGTATACAACACTCCAGGAACTCGAGTAAACAGATACATCAGCCGCTTGATAGAGGCCCGGCAAACTGAGTCTGAGATGGCTGACTTGAACTTCATTACCCTGAAGTATAAGCAAATTGAGCGTGAAAATAAAGTAAGGGAGTTTTAAATTATTTTTACTCGTTTCACTGACCACGAGCCAGCTAGCATTGGGGTTTTGTTTGTTTTTATACAATATTTAAATTCCACTCACTATCTTTAAATACTTCACTGGACTGCCTCTCAGTTAAGAGGGAGACATTATCTCTACCTTCTATTGAAACGCTTGAAGGGGATAAAAAGAAAGATCAGTATCATCCTACTTACCAAGATCCTATTCCATAATGTTACATATCCTGTGTTTTTGTCTTTCTTTTGGTTATCCAAACTACCTGACCTGTGTCCCCTGTTTAATGCTGTCTCATGGCAATGTGGCTGCCTACTAACTCATGTGCTCTGGAAAAGTGTTAATGATAGGAGGATGCTTCCCTCTGCATATTAGCCTGATAAGTATTGATCCCATCAGTTCTAGAAAATAACCAAAAAAAACCCCCTTAAATCTCTGAGCAAGGTTGTGGTCTTGCACCAGTCTGACTGTGCTGAAAGCAGTGGATTAACTCCAGACTTATAACTATGCATATAAGATAACAATTGTTCCTACCTTGGTTTGTTTATAAATACAAATTGTTTGTATTTACAGCCTGTAGTTTATGTGTTTTTTAAAAAGCAAAAGTGTTATGGTTTTGGATTAATTTGGCAGTAACCTTTAATGTTCTACTGTAAGTCACTTTATAGTCTAAGATTTCATGTCTCTGCTGTTCCAAGTCAGAAGTCTGTGTGCCATATTTGATCTAATTTTTAAGGTTTTGAGTATAAATTTTGATTTGAAGTTTCCAGAGTAATTTATTATCCAAGTGTAACTGTTCTCTTTCAAAATAAGAAAGTCTTTTGATGTAAATGAGATTGAACTTTGAATCTTTCTGAGAAAATACTTCTGTGTTTCTACCCCTATAAAGTGTTATCTTGTAAAGTGTGTAGCTTAGTGGAATTGAAGACAGTAGCTGCTCAAAACTAAACCCATGCATCTCATTAGCAGCTACCTCCAAGTCCACCCATTAGTGTCCTGTCCCAAGCAGCTGAGATGACAGGACTTCTTGAAGGCAGCACCAAGGGGTGTTTAGCCTTGTTTCATGACGAGTAAGTAGAGAATAGGTAGTGCCACCTCCTTCTAGTTCAAAATGGCTGAATTTTTTTTCTCCAAAAAGATAAACTTACATCTGAACCTAACCCAGTTTTGACTAGTTACAGGGTAAAACAGAAGTCTGTCAAGGAAAATGTTGTGTAGACTTGCCTCATCTGTCTTTTTCATGTGAATTAAGCCATGATTATTTGTATGTTTTTAAACTAAGTAGGAGCCTGTTTTATTTTAGGCTATAGTTCTTTCTTACTGAGAATGGACAAGTGTTGCTGACCAGGTGTATATCTACTGTCTTAATTTCTTCCTTTCTTTAACAGTACCACCAGCTTCAAGATGAGTACTTCACCAGTGCTGTAGTTCTCTCATTAATTCTAGCTGCCTTATTTGGCCTTGTCTACCTTCTAATAATACCACAGTAAGTTTCTGTCTTTTGCCATTATAAATCAAAGTGGAACATCTTCAGGCATCCTGCACAAATTAAAACATTAAAGTCTTTGGAATGAGCACCAAAGTTGGCATCTTCTAATATAGGAGATTCTCTGCTATATATTCTCAGTCTAATCTCTTTCCATCTATTTGTCCAAAGGAGACACTTTTCACTATCTTTTTTTTTTTTTTTTTGGTAGAAGGATGCACTTAGAAGTAAAAAAACCACATTTAAACTTATTTAAACTTTCCATGTTTATTTCTAACTTATTTAAAGCATTTCTGTGCTACAAACAAAGGTGTTACTACAGCTTTTTTAGATGTGTTTGTGCTGACTTTGGATGAGGTACTTCAGGTATTGATAGCAACATAGATAAAACTATACGGATTTTAATGGAAAATAAGTACTGAAGTATCCACCTAGCTTTTCGACCCAAATTTATAGCCTGCATTGAGGTTTTTTGTATCAATGCTATCACTACATAAACTGCCTAGTGGATAGTTTGGCCATGCACCCATAAGTTGCAGTCAGGCCTTGAGTGCACTAACCCCGAAAAAACCAAATGCTCATGATGTATTTCAGGGCTGTTCTATACCTTTTACTGGGTGATGCAGTTTAATGATTGCTTCAGATTTTGTCAATTCTATGTGATTTTTTACTAAAAAAAAAATAATTAAAATTCACTGTCAAATCTAGAGGTTATAATAAGTAGATAGAATTGTGTTTAAGGTATAAAACTTATTGGTAATAAGCTTTTTTATATTAGAATATCAAAACATTAAAAATAAACTTTACTCACTTTTACTAATTATTACAATTTCAGTGAGAATAGAGCTGGCCACAGTTAATGAAAATCCAAAATTTAAAATTCTGGTTTTTTCTATTCAAAAATCCCCAGTCAGGGTAATACTTTTATTGGTCTATTATTTCTTACTGAAAGATTGCAAAACACTTTTTTTAAACTCAATAATAATAATAATAATAAGTTGTATAATACCTTTCATCTGAAGAATTCAAAGTCACTGACAAAAATCATCACTTACATCATCATTTCCAGAATAACAATTCTGCTGACTAATTGGAACATAATTAAGAACTCTTTCACCCTCTTCTGCAGTAAACCACAACTGCAATACATGGCAATTTTGAACAATGAGAAAAAAATTTAAAAAAATAGAATGAATTTCCAAGAATCATGTGGTAACCTTTCCAAAAAGTACTGTCACTTAAAAAACAACTGGACAGAGATTTAGTTTAAGGTCTGATCTGACAGACACACAAGCTCCAGCAGAATATCACCATTGAAGGTCATGAAGATGAACTGGGTTAGTTAGGAAATCCATCCACTGAATGCTCCTTTCTTTCTTCCAGTGTCTGTTATTCTGGCCAAATTACTAGTCTTGCTGGGCTCTTCCCTCACTGTGATACATATGCAACCATGAACTAAATTAAAACTTTGAAATATAGGAAAATTTCCCCTCTCCCCAGAACTTGTAACTTTGGGCTGCTCTTTAGATTGCCAAAGCAGTTATAAATATGACAAAAGAATGCAAAAGCCAAAACAAGACTTCTAATATGTTATTCTAATGGCAGAAGTGATGTACGGCAATATTCCAAGAAGGAGATTCAAAATCTAGACAACTAAATGTTGTACGAAAGCCAGTTGCTGCATAAATACACAGAAAGCAATGGGCTTGACATTCTCACAATTCCTAACATCATCTGAGCAAAACAGCTTCTCAGCTAAAGGCATATTTCATGTCCCCAGATGGAGTTGTTGAAAGTAAGGTTATGTTCCAGTCAACCTAATCTGTCCAGTTATGGAGGAACACATGCAATATAGCCATTAAAAGCTCTGATGATGAACCTTTCTGATGTCTTATACTGTGTTTATTTTTTTAAAAACAATGTAGCCCCTTTTACAAATGCCAACCCAAATGTCTGTCAGGCTTATGTAAGGCTTGATCCCTTGCTGCCTAAAAGATGTCATTGCATTCATGGCCCCTGCATTCTTTTCTAGGATACTATCATCCTGAATACAAGTGAATTCTCTAGAAGCATGAGAGCCTGTAGTCTATTAACACTTGTATTCAGAATCCATACTGACTGTGATAGAGTCACCTCCCCATTCTGGTTACACATACTACAATACACAATTTTCCCTGTTCCTGTATCGGTAGGAATCATTATATGAATTTGAAATCAAAGCCAAATAGTTAGAAATTATACAGGAGAATTGCACACTTCCACTGTTCGAAACCCTATATAACCAATCTTTCCCCAGTAATCGTCAAGGGCACAGATACATATATATATGAAACCATGGCTCATATCTTCTGGACTGGCTGGTTTGTTCTCACAAGCTAGAAAAGAAGGCGTGAAGATTGTGTTATGCTGATGTCATGCAGCCCTGGTTCCATGGCTGGCGTGGGGCGGCCTATCCCTAAGCAAAAATCAAATGCACCAGTACCAGCACTGGTGGAGTTATTTTTGTCAAGTTGCACACATCCATACAGTACTTTTCCAATAACAGAAGTTTTCTGTAGGTGGAAAGTTCTTGTTTTTCACCCTTCTTCTCATGAAGAACAAGCCTTTGTGAAACCTAAGATTTGTCTAACCATTGAGAAAGACTGAGGAAGGAGTTCTGTTCTGTTTCATTAGAAGGCAGTCTGGTCTGATTTTGTTTGACTTGATAAGTGGCTGAATTGAATGACCTCTGATTTCTGAATCTTTGAGAAAGAGAGAAAAAGCATCTGGTAACTGTTACATAGCTGCCAAGGCCAGGTAATTGGATTACATACTCCCTTGTGAGAGTCATCATGCTGAATATTCTGCATTAGCCTACAATTAGAAAGTCTCTCTCCTGACACAACATATATTTGAATTTTTGAGGTGCTTTGATCTCCTTGCTGAGTCCAGAGTGGGAACCATATACAAGAACATTTACTAGTGTCTTAGTCTTGAGAGCAGTGCACTTCACTGTTAAATTTCCTCCGCTGTAGTTAGTATTACAGCAAGGTTGAGGAGGAGATCTTACACCATTGGTTTAAAATACCATTTCAGAAGGACCCCAAACAAAGTTTGTTCTCATCTGCTACTGAGTTGCATTGCTTCTGTTATATTTTGATTCTAGGAGTACCGTAGTTCTTGTTCTCCTGGTGTTCTGCATATGCTTCCTAGTGGCTTGTATTATGTATCTACACGTCACACGAGTACAAGTAAGTGATTTAAGATTTTATGACTATTCTTCCTTTCGGTGTCCATACTGTACTTGTCCTTTGGAATATGAAGTCATCTCTGTAAGTTTCACAGATTCATAGAGTCTGAAAGCTATGTGCTTATCAAATTCATTGCGAAGTAATGGATTAGGCATTTCAAAAACAAAGATGGATCACCTGAAAGTAGACTTTACATGAGTAATTATTACAGCACTGTAGCATTCAGTGCCATTAATTGTATGCTTTCTGTCTTTTTTGCTACATCGTCCCTTAACACTTACAACTAGGTACTGAATCATTGCAGTGTTCAGAAAAACAACCGCTTTAATCTGACTTCTGATCCTTTCTGACAGCAGAGCACAGTAGTTCTCTCTTCCATTTCAGCTGGTATCTGGGTATAAAGTCCTGATAAATTCCCCTCTGTTTTCAAAATTTTTCCTGCCAAAGCTGCAGCTGTTTTGATGCTAAAGTACAATGTTTTGGCCTTTTCAAAACCTTTAGTAATTATTAATTCTCCTGCATTATATTTTCATGACAGTAATGATGTAGAAGGACATTTGGTTGCATTATCAGCGAACTAGGTCTGCCACATCAGAATAAAGCATCTACAGGCTAATTTTCTGATGAAAGAAATCTGTAGTGGATTAATCTAAATTTAGACTTTTCAGACAAATATCAGGACAAAACACCTACACAGTTAATCAGCTTTTCTGATTAGCACACACTAATTTTAGTTAAAAAAAATGTCCTTTGGCAGGAGAAAAGTCATTGTTTTAATGGAAACTTAAATAACATATTAGAAGAGTATCAGGTACAGAGTAGAACCCTATTTATAAACTTGTATAATTATTTGGGAGTAATTTTGATGATCTTTTTTGTTTCATTAAGACAAAGTTTATCATCTATTCTTCTCTGTGTAGATGTTAGAAACACAGATGAAGTTTATGGGAAATTACTTCTCTTTATACGGTTTCCCTGGGGTTAGTGCAAACTTGAGATGTGTTCCATCTGTTTTGTCAGTCAACAAAATCTGTATTTATTCCAGGTTCCTCTATAGATTCAATACCTTACAGGATCAAATCAACCATTAGAAAAATAAAGAAATATAAAACATCAGAATATCACAGTTTAAAATTTTATAGTGAAAATTTGTCTTATAGAGTAAATAAAATATAATGAATATGCTATGTATAAAGGATGTAGAATGTATAGAATGTAAACCAGTCATTCCTCTATTTTAATCTGTCTTCTGTCACTTATTTGTTCTTTCACACTAGATAAGTGGCTCAGCTTCTCCATGCTTTACCATTGAATGCCTTACTCCTAAAACAACTATGACAATGTTTTACTGTACTAGTTACCTAGCATTTCTGGGCTCTGACAGTACTTATATAGTTAATAAAAATTCCACAAATAAAAGAAAACAAAGAAAATAAAGCAGAAAATTCTATGCTATTGTAAAAATTTAGTTGCAATCTTAGAATGACTTAAAGTCAGAAGTATAAATCATGTTAGTGTCAGAGTTTTAATTCAGACATGTCTCATACCTTATCTTTTAAATTTTTCTTTTTAACACAATAACCTAACATGTCAATGTATAGAACATCTATTACCACACAGACCAAAAAAAATTGGCACAATGTGTCAGGACACATGGTCTTTGAATCTGTGTGTTGTTTTGTCACTGTTAACAATCCTCTGTTAACAAGCTCTCTTTAATAAACAGTAGATAATTGCAAACTGAATTTGATTGCAAACTGAACTAATGGAATGTATATATTTCCTTCAAACAAAATTAACTTTTTTTTTATTTATATGGATAAATCTGCACATTCCACCCCATGTGTGTGTAGGATTTTGGTCTAGTTGAGTGGACATTTTGATGGGTAAAATGCCATTGGGATGATCAAATTCAGAGCATAGCAGTTTATGGTTGTACTCTATTTGGTAGTAGGTGGGGTACCACGAGCATTTATCCTGAATCCTGTCCTTTTCGACAGTTTTATCAGCAACCTGGAGAAGGACATGGAGTATACTCACGTGAAGTGACTCCAGTTTTGGGAGAATAGCTGTCAGGATGTCTATTGAGAGGATTCTAGATAGGCTGGCAGAATGGGCCAACAGGAATCTTATGAAATACAGCATGCATAAATGCAAAGTCCAGGCCCTGAGAAGAAAGAACTGCCTGCAATAACATAGGCTGGGGAGTGACCAGCTGTGCAAAAATAGCCCTGGGACTCTGGGGGTTAAGGCAGACTGCTTTTGGGCCTCTTGAAGTCCCTTCCAACCTGAACTACATGATAGTGATGAATAAATGCAGAAATAGTCAGTCTTTTTTCATAATGTAATTTTGGACAATGCTGTATCGTTTCCCTTGAGACACAGTTTTTCAATCTCAGATTCTTCCAATTTGAGGTTCAGCAATATGCTCACTCTTTTATTAAAGCTGATATACCTTGAGTATCCTAACGTATTTTATTGATGCTGACTAATACTTAATCTGGTTTATGGTGTATCTGAGTAACTCAGGTCCATAATACAAATCTATTATTGACATTATGTTGGTTGTTCCACATGTACACTTACAAGGACTTAACTCATACTGAAGTCAGAATGTATTTGCAGTTCATACATTTTTTATTTCTACTGTAATTGCTGTATTCTCATGTGTCACATCCCAAACAAAGTTTATTCACCTATAAGTACCTCAATTTTTAATTCATGGTCACACATATAGGCAAAATGTCTCTGCATATGTGAAAGGAAGGGAAGGTATTTAAGGGAAGGTATTTAAATACATGATTTCTGTTGTGCCAAGGCACAGTCCCTCTCTGTGACTACTTTGCTGCCTACTGGAAGCTATGCTTTTTGATGTTGGTGATAGCCATGAAGTGAACAGCTTTCCTTCACAACTGGTGATTTTCGTCCAAAAATCAGGTGTTTGCTTTCTCTCTTTGACCTTAAGTCAAATTCAACCTTGATAAATCTGAACCCCCTCCTTTTAAAGAATATAGGATTGTCCCCACTTTAAATCTGATTTTTTCTTGGAGTTGGTTCTTGACCCTTGAAGTCACTGGAAGAAGTCCAGTGGTCTGAAAGATATATCACGGATCCAGTATATAATGAATACTCCACAGTGAGAGGGTAAGAAAGGAAAGCAGCTTTACTTGAAAGCCGAGTAGATAAGTATGACTGGAACAAGTTTGACAGACTTACCCTTCGTCTCTCACATTCTGTCATAGGCTTCACAGCAGCAAGAACTTCACACATTTAGAAGTGTGATAGATGAAATCAGGGTAAAAATGGAGATAAGCAAGACTCTATTTCACCAGATATTTTTGTTCTCTACTGCTCTTTCTGACAAATTCAATATTTTTAATGAGTCCTGATAATTAAAACTATTCTGGCATGGCATTTAACATAGCTATTATAGCAGAAGACGTAAATACCACTCCAAAATTCTATACTATCACAGTATGTTCTCTTGGGTCACAATTTGGAACTGACAATTTGCAAGGCAAAAGTTGCTTTGGATATTTTTCCCATGAAAGCAATATCAAATGCCATCCTAATTTATTATTTACATCATGAGTAGACATGCTACTAAACTTTCTAAGAGTTTTAATTATAGTGAGAAATAATGTATAGTAATAATAATTTCATATTTATTATCCCCAAAACTGCGATTACCATTAAAACACATCTACACAATAATAACTGCATAACAGTTATTACACAATAATAACTGCAATACAGGCTAAATTTCCATATCCCTTATTCACCTCTCATTATAGACTACTAAAAAATATCTACCCCACTTTAAAATATTTTAAAATATTTTAAAATATTTATCTATAAATCTTTTTTTTATTTCCTTAGTGTTTTCCAGGGTGCCTGACAATACAAATTCGTACCATTTTGTGTATTTTTATTGTGATCTTAATATACTCCGTGGCTCAAGGATGTGTGGTGAGTATTTATATCAAGTATCACGTAATTTAGTGTTCTGTTTAAAGAACAACCTGGTACAGATCCATTAAACACGTTGATAAATGCAATCATTAATGCAATCATTGTTTGCATTGATAAATGCAACCATAGTCTCGTCTGGTGAATTCCTACTCTCTTTATTATTCATACTTGCAGGGCATGTTTCTTCAAAATTAAACCCTTCTGCTGTAATTTGAACTTCAACTGACAAGGTGTTGAATTAGGAATGGCAAAGCAATTAGCAAGTTGCATAGATCATACCTAGTCAACATCTATAGAAATCTGTATATCAAAACTTAGTATCATATAGTCTGCTGATGTCTTGTACTTTATGGGAAAACTGTTTTTAAATGTTCAACTTGCTTACTAGTTCAGTGGCTAATATTTTGTGATAGGCAAGGCATGGTGTCAAAACAAGATTACTAATTCTATGTGGCAACTTATAAAACATCTTTCTGTGTAATAACAGGGGGATATTTTTAGTCCAGACAGATCAGAAAAGATCTTAAGACATCTTAAAATATGGACAGTTTTGTGTAACAAGAAGAGGTGCTTACAGTGTGCTACTTACACGATCCATCCACATCTAATATCTAGAAAGCTTCTGTTCTATGAAGTGACCTTGCTTAATAGTTCTGAAACTTGAGCTTCCTTTACTGTAGACTAGCAGCTAGTTCTGGTGTACTTGAATTCAAATTTAAACTTCCACCTAAATATTTCTCATTCAGTTGCCTTGCCAAATACCAAACACTCATTTTCAGCATTTTGGCTGCTATTGCTAATGGATTAAACATGTGAGAGTACTCAAAAGAAAGAATTCACACAAAAAATAGCACACTAAACACAACTGGAAATGCTAAGAAGGCAGATGTGTGAAATTATGCCTCTCTAGGGGAATTAAACAATGTGTTCTGACCATTAAGAAGACATGAGCAATTCTCAGTGCTAACTGAGATACCAAGCCCCTTATTTTGTATTTTGTGTATTCACTCATTCCTGGACCTTCCCTGAGAACTTATACCAAGCTTATCCACATGAACTGAATGGGCAGTGGATCCGTTCTCTGTGAATTCCAGTGTCCTGAGAGAAACCAAGAATTACTGATGTTCAGACATTCCTGGGAATTCCTGAACATCAGCTGTGTTAGTTAACACACAGCCCTAGCAGAACACACACATATATGTGGTTCTTAGTGTAAACATTAGCCCACAATGCATAGAGTTGTGCAGTGCCTCCAGGCTAGCTTCTCAGCAAGTTCTGTGTATATGACTTTGGGATTAGGACTAATGTTATGATAGCTGAAATCTTTGTGAATCAGCCTCCGTAGATCTGACACTTACTTTGACCGAATGAAACAAACACCATCATTGCCACTTAAAGATGGTGAAAATGAGAAACAGACATCGTAAGCCCTAAAGAAATGTTGAACAACAGTGGAAGAAGTCAGATTAGAATTCAGAAGTTCTGTCCTCCAACAAGGCAGTAATCCTTCAGTTAGGACTTAAAATAGGTCACAAATACAACTTTATCCTTTCCTTAATAAAAATAACCTGTAATCTAAAGAGAAATGTTTCATCCATAGAAATTATTAGTTCCTGCAAAGTAATGCCTCTAGAATTCTCATCTGTCAGAGGAGCTAGATGTTGAGGTTTCACTGTTGGTTGTACAGCAGAGGGTGTTTTCCTGGGTGGATTGCAGATCATTGATGAAGCGCTCATGCCTGTGTATGTTTTTGGATGAGTTTAGTATGAAGAGCCATTTTTAAGGATATTGAACCCAATCACATTAAAGGGATTTTTCACTTCACTTCTTCATTTCACAATGTTAGGCATTATGAGTTCAAATCATATTTATTGTATTTCATCTTTTTAAATTACTACAACCCCCTGTAAAATACATTTCTTAATCACCCTTAAGGTTGTCAGTTACTTTACAGCATGGTATAAAATTTCATTGCCAGTGCTTAGGATGAAATAAAAAGGTCTTATAACACACTTAAAAAGAGAAGCTGAAGTACAGGGCAGGGCATATGTGGAAGTGCCTGTTAAAATCAAATCCACGCTACCATCTCACTCCCCCCACTTATACTAACTCTTATCCTTTTCCTTCGTTAGGGGTAAAGGTTGGACTGCAGTTAAAACTGGAGCTGTAGGGACTTGCACTATTTGCCAGATATTCCTCTCTTCCTTGGGTAACAGCTCCGAAATGTGTACATGACATTGCCTTTAAAAAAACTAGGTTAAATTTCCCCAAATTTCCCATAAGAAATGCACTAAAACATTTTTTTTTATTTCCAATTCAGGGAGGAAATGGAATTCCTTGGATAACTGAAATGAGAGGGATAATTAAGGATGAGTCCTTGTTTTTGAACCATATGTGACAGCAGAAGTAGCTCTGAGATGGAAAAAAGATATTATTCATGTTTAGTTTTTCATTCAATGATTAAAATATATTTTATTTTGTATTTAAGGAATTAAAATTTATATGACTTACATAGTCAATAAAACAAACACAGTTATTTCTGTGCTCTGTGCAAGATCCTTCTTCACCTGCATGGCCATGGTAAAGCTTAACTGAAGTTCCTTAATTTTGCAGGAATATGCTGGTGTGAGAATCTGTTGATTTTGAGCACTGAGAAAGAAACTATTCAGCTAAGCCCAAACTTCAACTGTTTGCCCTAACTGGCATCTAATGAACAAATTTTGTCTCTCCACTAAAATTCCGTGAAGCATTGCAGGAAAAGGAGATTTTCATACAACATTGAGTTGGGTGGGAACTCCACAGCCATATTTTCCCAATTAGAAATGAACCACAGTCAGCCTTCATAGCAATTGCATTTCTGTTTATTTCGTATTTAACCTTCTCCTCTTCTCACCTCTCCTGTCTTTTCTAGGTTGGCTGCATGCCTTGGGTTTGGAATACCAATTCCAGCAGCTCAATAGTTATAATTTCTCCTGGTGGAACAAATAAAACAATGAATGAACTTCCATGTGACACAGCCCACTATGCTTTCCTTTCCTGTGTAGTGGGGACTCTCACCTTGGCAATATTTCTACGAGTATCTTCCTTGCCAAAAATGATTCTCCTGCTTTTTGTTACAATTTTGTACATAGTTATTCTGGAACTCAGTGGTTACAGAAAAGCATTGGGGTAGGTATCTTGCAAAGTTAAAGCAATGGGCAATTCTCTATAGATAGTCATGACATTGCCTAGTAATCTGTGAATTGTCCTCTAGTGTTCAGTGCTGCTTAGGGCTATAGAATCAGTGAGACATAAGAAATACGTTAAACATCCTCTCCCCAGCAATTGTAGGATCTAGTAATATCCATCAACAGGAGATCAGCTTTTAGGAGCTAGCATTCTGTAGTCTTATGGTAACGTATTTCAGCTGAACACACTGCAGTCTAACTATAATATGAAATAGAAAACAGTTAAAAACTTCACTTCTGTATTTCAGCAGCCCTCAACAAATTCCAATTTCATTTAAGCTTTTGAGCTTTTCAGTGTTGATATGTTTCCTAATTAAAAGCATACACACACATTATAATAATGCATAGCATTATAAAGTCCTCAAGAAATCGCTTGTTTGTGTGATCAGTGATCAGATATACTGTCATCCATTGCCCTGCCCAGATAAGCCTTTTCAGAAAAGGCTATTGATTAGAGTGTACCCACATGTTCTAAACCAAAAATTTGATATTAAAAGTATGTGGTGTTAGGTATTGGAAACCCTAGAATAACCTGTTTACTTTCTTCTTGTTTTTAAGGGGTGGGTCCTTCTACATGCGTGGCTATGAACCAATACTAGCTATTTTGCTTTTCTCTTGTGCTTTGGCACTGCATTCAAGACAGGTGGACTTGAAACTGCGTCTGGACTACCTCTGGGCTGTGCAAGTGAGTCACAGGACTTTATAGTATCCATGCATACAAAATGATGTCTGACTTTTTGATTTGGTTTGCAAACACTTTCGGGACAAATTAGTTGGACTAAGACTTTCGAAATTTCTCATGTCTGTTGGGGTTCACAGAGAAAACTTATTTTAGAGCCTTCTTTCCACAGACCTATAAAATTCCTTTTTTCCTGGAGAAGTAATTTTTTTTTTGTTTGTTTGAAGTTGTTCCAGTACATCGTCAATCATGTAATATATTTATATCTAAGGTGCATTGGAATGTACTCTTAGCAATATAAACCTGAGATACAGAAATTAAATCCATGGGGGATTTTTATCTTTTATTACACAAAAAGGGGTGAAAATAAGTCAGTGTTCAGGTAAACTGAAAAGAAGCAATTAAAACTGATAAAAGAAAATATTTATACCCATATCATGCAATGAAACTATGGAACTCCTTCCCAGATGAAGATCAGAAATTTATTTAGGTACCAAGTGCATGCACTCCTTTTGAAAATACATTTCCTAACTATCATAATCACGGCAAAACCTATAGAAATTATATTAACCATAACACGGGCATCAAGATATGTTTACCTCCTGTCACACCTCTTAGCAGTCCAGTTCCCACCTCCAAAGTGTTTCACACTGGCTCCTGAAGGAAGGAGAAAGTTCAATATGTAAGTTTGGTTTGGTGCAATTTGGAAATTGCCCGTATGGTAAATCTTACAGTCCTGTAGTTTGCAGAGGTCACATTCTATTCTCATCTACACCCTGTTAACTATGTTGTCAAGAGGACTGTATAAATCATCACAGTGCCTGCTTTTACACATAACATCAAGACTGGAACACATGGGTTAGTGAAACACATCCCTGGCTCCAAAAGTCAGGAATGACTTAGCTCTATTATCTTCTGATTATAAAGTTTTCCTATCTAACAGTTAAGCTTTGTTGAGATTTCTTGTTTGTCTTCATGTCCAAAACTATGTCCATGTCCTTTTCAACTTAAGATTATCTTGTTCTATAATTTCCATGGACTCTGCACTGTTTAACTGAGTCTTCAGTGCAAAATTGCTTAGTTTAATTTTTGTCCTGTGACCTACAGTATTGATAGATGGTATGTCTGTCAGCCTCAGAAGATTGTTTTGGACAAACTGATGCTAGTTTCTGCTTGCTGTGCTGCCAAATATAGTTTTTAGATGGAAGAAAAAGGTAGTTAGATTTTGAAATTCAGTGGAGCACATGTCTAGGTGTATACTGTGGTGGAAGTAAGTGAGTGCCATATGATCCATGAATACAAGACCTTCTGTATGTTATTCTTAACCTGGAAATAGAGTAGCAGCAGGAATATACTGGTTTTGCTATCCTGTGGCCTTTCAGCAGGTCAAGAGTGAGTTCCAGCATCTTAAATGCTTTTCATCATTCCAGCTCTTATGACGAACTGTGCATCCTTAATGGAGGTACTACTTAAAGATTCTTAGTTTTAAGTTAATTTTTAATTCACAATCAATTAGTTTTAAAATTTAGTACAGGAAACCTATGGGATGCTTGTCTAATGAAAGACCAGAACTGGACAGTAGTAAAGGAAGAAATATGAACTTTTTCTGTTTTCTTGAGGACAGGTTGTATAGACATACCTAGCCATCTACCACTATTGTTAAAACCATTGTGCACTTTTTCCAAGGGACAATTAGGGGAGATAAAACATCAAATTTTGAGTGGCATCTTCAGGTACCACTTCAAAAAGTGGTTTTCATCTGAAATTAAATGCCATTTTAAGATCAGGTACTTATGTGGTGCCACCTTGTCTGTGAAATTTGCATTATAATATTGAGAAAGGAAAAAAATCAGTTTAGGTAGAAAATTCAGTATTAGAGATCAACATAACTACCATTCTTTGAAATCAGTATCCTGGATAGGTTCTCGGCCTCTTAGATGATCTGGGCGTTTACCTTTCTTCTTCTCAATTCCAAGAGGAAGATCCATTCCCTGTGCAGTAAGTAATAGTGGATAATATGTAAGAAAGATTCTTCTGGTTTCCTCTCTGTATATTGATTGTGAATGATATTGAGTCCAAGTGCTAATTAACATAATATACAGAAGTACTGTCCATGATGGATGTTACATGATGGATGCTTATGGTGCTTATCTATTCAAAGGGTAAGTGCAAAAAACCCCAAAACTTTGTACTTGCTAGGTTCTTCAGCACAGTAAAAATCTGTATTTAAGGCTCTGGTAACAATGTTGATTGGAAATATCTGTATGTTAAAACTGCCTTTGAATAGTTAGCAAACTCCAAGCTGCTAATTGTTTAACGACCTTTAAGAGGGGACAAATAAAAACTACATTCTTGAGTGACCAATTTTCTCTAGCTGCTGGATTGCAGGAGCCCTCTGTGTGGTTAAAAGCAGTCTTGGTCATGTTTATCTACAGCCATGGTACTACTTACCATTGAAACATGCTGGCTTAACTTGGTTATATTTTTGGTAACAGAAGTTTTAGAAAGACCATTGACTTACCGCACAGGGCCTATGGAGATTTTCTGTTTTACAGAGTAAGTGTTCTAGTTCTTTGTGCAAACATTGAATTGCATGAACCACATGCTAAGGCTAGATTCACATCTCCCCGTAGCCAGCCCCTGCTATGTGTCTTCACATCATTTTAGCAGACTTTTCAGTTGTTGGCTTACAACTGGGAGAATTTCAGATTCAATGGCTATTCTGGAAGCTGTAAGCACTTTGTTTGGATACTTTTAGTAGCATTTGTTGTAGGGCTAGTCCTGTAAAAATATTATCAAATGAATAAAAGCATTTGCGGCATAAGCTGTAATAAAAAAGATTTCATAGATGATTTCTTTACTTCATCATGAACAATAAACCGTCTAGTACTAACGAATTATATTTTAAACCCTGAAAGTGTCCTGAAATTAATATTATTATTAGTAAGAATATATAGATAGATTCTCAGTGGTCTCTGCTAAGGTCTGAGGAAAACATATCCATAGATTTTTTTTTTCTGCCACATCAGGAAAAAAAAATGTTTTGAAGAAGAGTAGGTTTCAAACAAGGAAAACTGGTTAAGAAAAATTATACAGTTTCAAGATAAGTTAATCTACTTTCCATGCATCTGAGTTGCATAAACAGAACACAGATAATACAGTATGTATTTGCATAATTTATGTACAAATGTGGAAAAAATATTTTATATGGAAAAAATAATTTTTTTGATTTGTGATAAGTTGTAAAAACATTTATATTTTTATTTACTGTTCACATGTCAGTGGTGTTATAGGTTCTTGTTGATTTTGCTAGGGTATTTTTCTGTTCCAAATTTAACCTTTCTGAATATCACAGTATTTCCAGAAAATATCTGCTCTTTGTTTTGTTGGGTTTTTTTAACAGGCAATGGGAGGACAATTTCATTTTCTGTATAGCATTGTTGAGTAACTCTGTGTGTCTCATATGACAATAACTATGCGTAGCAAATATAGGAACATTTTCCTTACTTGTTACTGATATTCACATTTGATGATGCAGATTGTTTAACAAAACTGGGACAAAAGAAAAGAATGAACAAATAAATATAAGTAATAAATTTATGAAGATCTAAAACTGCCAAAGAATGGAGTTGCTCCCTCACCCAGGATTTGTCAGTGGAGGAAAATAAATATAATACAATGATATGACTAATTGATGCGTTCTTCAGGGAATACTAGAATATAATTCCACTGGCTTTCCTAGTCCACAACACTTGTAAGAAATACAAGTTTTACAGTCTGGAAGCAAGACTTGCTAGGTGTGCTAGCACTTCCTCTCAAAAACCTGGCCCTGCAGAAGCAATGTGATGAGTCTCTTCCCTGTGGCTTTAGTGCCACCTTCAGGTACAAAAAATGAGGCTTCTTTTTAGCTGAATCTTGAAACTGTATCTTCATGTAATAACTATTCAGTCAGTGACATTGCTACAGCATGTTTAGGCTTAAACAGTCAGCTGATACAACTGCTCAGACCACTTCCCAAACAAAGGATGTGTAATCAGTTACCAGCATTATAAAAACTGTGGGATGCTATGTAATGGGGATGGATGGGGATATGCGTCAATCCAAGGAGACTGATTTTGCCACAGTTGCTGATTCAACAGCAGAATATCTTCCTTTATATCCCTTGGTTTCCAGCTGCTATGTAGCTTATTATCTAAAAAGTACCAGCAAGTTCCCTCCTCTGCAATGGTTTCAACAGAGCCTGGCTGTGGTGCCTTCACTCCATGCTCCATTTAGTCCCTCTTTGTATTGTGTGAGGGAAGTTGGGTGTGCTGACCATATTCCATCCAGGGACTAGCAACCATATTTCCCCCTATAATTTCTGAACAGTTATCTTTGTTTCTTTTTTCCCACAGTCTCATCTTTGTCAACTGAACCTTCTCAGAGTCAAGACTGTAGTTAGGAGTTTTGCATCCAAAGAGGGGAGGAGATACTTGCTAGGTGTGTTGGAGATGTAGCATTCTACCATTAGCAATGGTGATGCCTTTCCCTGCTCTTAGAGGATTTTGCCACCCCTTCAGACATGACTCTGATAGTTTGATTTCCACCATCCGTTCTTCACTCAAGAGCTCATTTCTTCACTTAGTCATGGGTTAGGCTTGCTCTGAAACCTTTGTTGTCATTTGTACACAATGATGGGTGTACTGAAGAACCTTTTCAACCACATCTTCCAAAATGCACATTTCAGCTCACAACTGGGCAAGGCAGAGGAATCAGGTCACATGTTTCCAGATCTGAAATGAACAGCCACTGTCAGTGAGTGAGCAACATCACTATCCATACAGTGTATCAAACTGATTACTCCACTTACCCACCCCTACTTGATTCCTTTGACAGTCCAGAAATCCCTATGCCCTGACTCAAAGGAGTGTTGTTCTTTAGGCTGGTATTCTGCCCCATATGTTATTGGTAGCTTAAATGAGAACATTAACATTCCTAGGAATTAAGTAACGAAAAAGTTCTTGTTAAAAAAATAGAAGAATGGATAAACAAGCCCCAAATGGATTTTTTTATTCAGAGCATCAGTTCAGTTTTGAAATCCCTTTGCTGTTGTTGGAGTAAAATTTCCTATATTTCAGTATGGTGCAAAAATGGAGTTGCAAGCTCAGTCTGGATTTTCAGCTGGAAGAATTTTTTTATTTTTACTATTAGAACATTTAAATTGCAACAGTCAAACGAAATGCCAGAGATCATTTCACATGTTTATAGAAAACAATGTCAGAGACAGAGTTATGCCACCAAAATAGGGGAAGGATATTTTAAGAAAAGAGCATGTGAAATTTAAACAGCAAAATAAGTGTCAGGAAAACAGCTCACAAACAGGAAATAGATACTTGCTTAGAGTAAGAGCTTCAGGTGTATTTCTTGCAGAACTTCATTGCTATTTAGTGTTTACTGATATTTCATGGCTGGAATAGATTCTGTTTCTTATTACACAGAGTAGGAGACAAGAATTTATTTCAAACGGGAACAATTCCTGAAGAATTTATGTCTATAAAATCAGTTGTCTTTCTGCATTCTTTCTGTTTGTAAAGAAATTTAGAAATACAGAAGTAAACTGCAAATCAAAGTGAACTGTGTAATTTGAATAAAAAGGCTTTTTCCAAAGTTTCGTCATGGAAAGTAAAACCTGGCTTCCTGGAAAAAAGAAATCACACGAAAATATATTGGTAGCTTATACAAAGGCAAGAGGTGTCTGGTTTTCTCCTACTTAGACAGGAATGGATAGCGAAAAAAGTATGTGGATTTTGTAATAAATCAGGATACCAAATTTCAGATACAAATGGGACACCAACAAAAATTAGAACAGGTTCTTGGTGGTTTATGTGGTTGTGGTTCTCAATAATGCCTGAGAATTTGGCTTTCCAGTCTTCCACTGATTGTAATTAGATAAACCAAATCATATTAGAGTCACAGTAGAAGATTTGTGTTACTGTTCTCTGAATGTGATTGAGGAGCAAAGAATAAGATATAATTTCTGTGAGTTTAATTATATAACCTGATCAACCATTTTCTAATTGAAATTTGAATGTAGAACCAGAAGTCACTCTAAGAACAAGGACCAAATTCCAGAGAAGTAATTTTGCTGATGAGTACATGAAGGACTAGGCTGGAATTTGCAGACCTAGGAGTCCCAAATGAGATCCCTAGATAGTCAGTATTTTTCTAATAAGAGGTCTGAGTTTTAGAATTGTTTCCTAATGTATGACTCCCACTTATTCCTGTTAGTCAAGGCACCTGTAATAAGATACCAGTATCTTGGGTTAGGAACCTCAGTTGTGTTAACTCCTAAGCACTCTTTCTGAATGCTGTCATTCACACCAACAGTAGAATTTCTGTTGTGAAGGAACTGTCTATGTTTTCATGACAAACACCAGCATAATTAAAACTATCTCTAGAAATGCTAATTATCTTTATACACTTTTTAAAATTAGATATCATTCTTAAGGATGCTCAATTTTAAAATCTTTTTCTCTGTTGACGTTACTGACTAGCCCGGTCTCTTTGCATTTTACTGCAAAATGACATAGGTTTGACTGGTGATTCTACAGGCTTCTCTTTTTTGAAACATGGATCTAATATTGCTACTCTGTATCAGTCTACCTGGAAAGGAATTGGCATCCAAGACCCACTTAAGTGGGATTGTTCTGGCTTCTTACTCTGTAAAAATATCAAGGGTCTATTTAAAAATAATGGAGAACAATGGGAGATACTGATATACTTAGCTGATCAAATCCTGAAAGTAGCCCAGAGCTTAAATTACTAAGAACTTTAAGGGATTTTGCCTAATGTAGAAGCGTGATACAGGAGAAACATTCGCACTCTACATTACTGCTCTACATTATTATGCTCAGTTTAATTTCAAAGGATGAATTAGTAGAAGCTGTTTGATAGGTTCAGCTAACTTTCTGCTATTTGGAAAGGTTTTTCTTTTCCTCTATCTTTTCCATAGGCAGAAGAAGAGAGAGACGATATGGAGAGAGTCAAGCTGGATAATAAAAGAATTCTCTTCAACCTGTTGCCAGCACATGTTGCACAGCACTTTCTTATGTCTAATCCAAGAAATATGGTAAACCAAGATAAAATGTATATATATATATATATGTTTTATGGATGTGGCCTGGTGTTGCTTGGGTCACCTTTCAGTTGTATGTTTTCAAGAAAGGCTTGGACTTTTAAAATTTTACTCGTGTTTAAATAGTTTCATAAAAACTTGTGTTCAAGAATTAGTTTGAGAGTATTTCTTTTGCTTTATGGTCCTCTTTCTCTAAAGAATTTTAATAAAAATCAGGATAAGGGCTTGTTGTTATTCAATATCAGTGTAACCAAGTGTCTGCTTGTAAATCACTTTATTTCAATCAATTTAGGATATTGGAATTTATCACAGCATTGTATGAGCTCAGTTTGGTTCTGAATAGTGAAGCGTATGATCTTCCAGACACTACTGTATTACCCAATCTAGTTCTGGAAAACATGCTATCATTACCAAAACCACCCATTTAAAGTTAAAAATGGAGAATTAAACATACTCAAGGAAGACATAGCAGCTTTTAACATAAAAGGCTACAGTGACTAAATAGATTGGTTCAGGAAATCCTTACCAGAATCTTTCTGGTAATCTGAAGACCTGCAGCACTGGAGTTGCTATAATATCCATGATACTGCTCTTGAGAATTTTGATCAATGTATTTGAACCACAGAAGAGTGGTTTTGCTTTCTTTGAGCCCTCTAAATTTTTAAGCAGAAACCTTAGCATACAGAGCAGCATTATATTACATAGGAATCCATAACTCAGAGAAAGATGTGAAGGAGGGAGGCTGGTTTTGTGCTACAGTATAAAATTGCTCCACATGCTATTTTGCTTATAAAACACAATTGAGAAAATATATTTCTCATACAATAGGAGTTCTACAACTGTTAAGACCTTCTCCAAAGTTTTACTCACTGCTTCCATGTCTAAACAGAAAAACAAAACAAAACTAAGTTGTTTTAAATGGTTTTAATATTTTAGGTGTTAATTTTTTTTTATGGTTTTGAGTGGAAGCATCTTTCAACATTATTTTAAGAAGACAGGCTTTCTCTCAAGCAAAAATGATGGCTTTTGTCATAGCTATTGCTTAGCAGTAGAATGGGTATTGTAATAATGATGCTTAGTTTAGATTAATCTTTTAAAATAAAAATTATATCTACTCCTGAACTGCAGGACCTTTATTACCAGTCATATTCACAAGTTGGAGTGATGTTTGCTTCCATCCCAAACTTCAATGATTTCTACATTGAATTGGACGGCAATAATATGGGAGTGGAATGTTTACGCCTGTTAAATGAAATTATTGCTGATTTTGATGAGGTAAGTTCTAAGGACTTTGTCTTTTGACCGTATGAGTTCTACTAAATTCCTATCAACAGAGATTATCTGTAATAATTCATCATATCTTGAACTGCTTAATAAAAGAGTAGTGTAAACTTTCTATTTAATCATAATTGATGTCCACTGGGCTTCTCCAAGGTGGCCAGTTTGGACTTTTAGGTCTGACCTCAAATTCCACTAATACAGAAAGAGTATCAAAATGCTAGTTAATGGCAGGTTTTTTCAATGGCATGAAAGTGAGACAGCCACAACTTATCAAAAATAATATGGTTTAATGAACTTGCACATATTATCTGATAACTATGGTTGCTTGTCTAAAATATTATGTAATATTTAACAGTTTTATGTTTTAAACAAAGCTTATGGACAAAGAGTATTATAAGGACATAGAAAAGATCAAGACAATTGGAAGTACATATATGGCAGCTGTGGGACTTGTACCAACTTCAGGAACTAAGGTAAGAAGATTTTACAAAACAGTCCTTTGTGAAGAAACCATTTTCTTTCAATCCCTAGAGGAGCACCAGAAACACAACTAATTCTATGTGATTATAGATTGTATGACTTCTTTGCAACACTTTAAATTTGAAATTCAAAGAAAAACTGTAGCCTGAGAAGAAAAACTGCCACAGTTGCTGATGTGGCTTCACTTGCAATTTCATTGTCTGCAGTTCTGGATTCTCTGCAAATTGATGTATAAGAGCCTCTAAGTGAGAGTAGTAGTGTTTTAAATCCAGTATCTTAGATGACCTAAGATGTAGGGAAAGAGAGACTCTAGGTGTAATGAATTGCTGCAAAACTAGCAGAAGAATATTAAAATGTGATTTTTACATTTTTTTTTTAATATGGAAATCTGGATGTAACCTACAATGAAAACAAACTTTGTGCTTAGCAGTGTTTCACTTTACCCTGGTCCCTTCAAATAAGCTCTTCTTTGTCTCTGCTATTAGCATTCTTTTTACCGTTTTAATTACTTAGCAGTACAAAAAGTCAAAGTCATTTCAAGCCCCTTAGCTCTGTGGCACAGTTCTTTTGTATCTTCATTACTACCCTGAGTGTGTTTCTCACCTTAAGTTATTGTCTTGGGACAGAGATTTCCTAGATTTGCAAGCAGGATCTAGAAAGTCAGAAAACTGTGTGGGCAGTATATTAAATATACAGAGTACCATGCATATTAATAATTGTAGTAATAAAACTAAATTACAAATATGTTATAAAACTAATGATATAAGAATATAAAGAAAATTAAACCAATCTATTCACTGTGTCTGCTCAGAGTTTCCAGACACTTCTCCCTTGTTCCGGTATGCATGTACATATGTTGTAGACACATGTTGTATACACTCATATATACAGTTTAGCATTGAAAAATAACATCAAACTAAAGGGCAAAAATGAAAAAGGCCAGAAGATGTCCTGTGAACTATTATTCCTGCTAAGTGAATAAAAAACAAGACCACATTGAAATCAACTGTTAGAATCGTGTTGGAATATATCACATGCAACTAATTTTCTGGTCTGAAGAAAATTTGCAGTTGATGCTTTCCATTGTATCATTCCTAGAAATCTACATGTTACAAAAAAGGTATTTTTAAAAGTCTGTTTATCCTGAAATATTTGACTCATGGGTCCTTGGACAGGCAAAAAACATTGAACTTTAGATTTTTTTTCAGTGTGTGATCTCGGGCAAACAGGCAATATGTCTGCTATAAATGCTCTTTGAACTATAATGCTCAAAACAAGTGTGTTATTGGGTAACTTTGGCAGCATATGTTCCAAAATCTAAGCACGTTTGTCTCTTGTATCTTATAGTTGTTAAGCAAAGGGTTAGCTGAGTTAACCCAGTATTGAAGATACTGCTCTGAGCTTATGATAGTAATGCATTTTAAATCACTGCAGAAAGTCTTGCCTTTCTCTTAAATCTTGGGGAAGATTTTGATCTTTTCTGCACGTGTAGAATTTACTTAACATTCTATATTGTGGAAAAAAAATCTTGTATGAAACAATCAATATTTTTTACTTTAACTTGGGGGTTCAGCTCTTTGTGTTCTCTTCCCACTGCTCATGTGGTGCAAATGAATAGAAATTATTCACATCCTCTGGGCAGTTTCCCAACAGGTCTTCAGCATGCAGCTATGTATTAGAAGTCTGATAATCCTGGCTAGCCTGTTGTGCACAGGTGATCACTTCCAGCCATCACACAGTCCCTGGGCTGTCCTACAGAGTCATATGTGTCCAGGGGGAGCCTTAAGAGACTCAGCTGCTTCTAGTGTGCCCTCTGCCAGGAGCATCCCAGCTTCAACAGAAAATCTGGCACAGCCTCTGATTTTGAGCAACTAATTTCATACTAGGATTTGGACATGAGCAGAAAAGAGTGGATCGGGTTAACTGTGCTCTTAACTGAGGATATTTGCACACATAAGAGCTCAGTACCCTGATGAAGTTAAATATTTAAATCCCATATTTTACAGGACTGTTGTTTCTGCAGCTTGACTTCAGCAGACGAATAAAGTAAATGCACGTTGCCTCTATCAGAGTGGCTTTGCTGTGATGCTCTGGGCAGTCTTTCCAGTAACTATTCCTCTGATGTCTAAATGAATAATTTCTTGCCAGTTACACCATCAGGGCAACACACAAACCAACATCTTTGTAGATCTTTCACACGATATAAAATCCTTGTATGTGTATTTCACCAAGATCCTGACTTCACCAGTGGTCTTCAGTGCAGGTTCAAAAGAGTTTACCAGTAAACCTATTGAGATGCATCTATGACCTGCAGCACATTTAGTATTTGTCACAAGTCCTCTCTCCTGCGACCCTGAAGGGCATTGCAGAAAAACACAGCATTCATTAGACAGCAAAGAAACGGAAGGATAAGGAATATAAAGAAGATTAGAAATCAAATAAAACTATGCACGACTCCCTCCCTCCTCCAGACATTCAATATTGTTTCCTTCTCTGTTGGGACTGTAGCCATAAGCTCTTTAAGCTTAATTCTTGTTCTTCCTTTTTCTTGGTGGTGCTGGAAAAGAGCAGAGCTAGCTAGTTTACATTGTAAAAAGCATAATGCCAGATATCCAGGCAGGTAAATAATTTTTTTTTTTTCCAAAATTTGGGACTGGCCCAAGGATGATTTTATAATTTTTTGTTAGAACTAATTTTTTGTGAATTTCCCAGTCACATAGAGCAGCCCTTTCAAACTGAGTAGAATAAAGCAAATAGCAACTGGTTTCTCAGGTTTGTCAGCCACTGCCAAGCACTGCATTTATAAAATCTCGCTATGATGGCAAAAACTCAGCAAGCTTTCATCTCATGCCAGCTTCCACAATCCCGTTGTGCAACACCCTACTGAAGCTGCCACTGACCCTGCATTTCTTTCACCATATCCTACCTTTAGCCCACTTTCACTTTGCAAATCTGTTCCAAAATTCATATTTCTTATTCAAATAAGAACAGAACATAAAAGCAATCATACTGAGCCAAATCAAAGGCTTATTCTAGTAACCTGTCTTTAACTAACCAAAGGTAGATCCTGGGGGAAGGGCATGAGTTACAGGACAAATACACAAACCTCTCTTTTCTACTTTCTAATGATATGCTGTTTAAGAAATTCTGGGGTTAATGTCTTTTTACTACTGTGTAGCAAATATTTCTTTCATAAGTTTGAGTAACTATGTTAGACTCTTGTGAAATTTTGAAATCACAATGTCCTCTGACCATGCACTCTACAGTTTAATTAATTAGCCTGAAGTTGTAAAAATTATTTTCTTATGTTTGGGGTTTTAGTTAAAAGTTGATACTGCAGCATTTCATTTGATCCCTTCTGGTTCTTTTGCTATAGTTCATTTAGATACATTTTATAACAAATCCCTTCAGCTTGCTTGGAAAGGAAAAAACATAGGGGTGTTCTGCGTCTCACAGGATTGAATGCAACAGAAATTTTGTCAGTGGGAGCAGCATGCACCCCATGGAGTTGGGAGCTAGCAAAAGCCCCAGAGGGAGAAGAGGGCAGAAACTATAGTTATTAATAATCACCAGGCAAAGTAGTTTTGTAAGAAAGCAGGTTATGTTCCCTGCCACACTCACAACAAACATCTGCAGCTCTCTAGCAACAGAACCACTTTACCATGGGAACTTTGTTTTCCATTCTTCCCAGAAATCAAAAAAAGAGAGAGAAGAAAAAAAATAGCACTCAAGAAAAGAGTGCATGTGCTTTTTAGCTACCATCAAAAGTTTCCTTTCACAAACAGGAGAATTGGTTAGATTCTTTTCCTAAGCCATCTGTCCTGAGTTTTTCATTGTTTTTCACTTTGGTATTTCACCTGCCTCTCAGTATCATAAAAATCTAATGTGCAATACTATTATACAATTTTGTTTCTAGGCTAAAAAATCAATTTATTCCCATCTGAGTACACTGGCAGATTTTGCAATAGAGATGTTTGACGTTCTTGATGAAATCAACTATCAGTCCTACAATGATTTTGTCCTCCGAGTTGGTAAGTCACGTTTCTACAATTATCACACAAGCAGAACATTGGGTTTTGTTGGCTTTCCCTGTGCTGTCAGCAAAGGATTACCTGTCCTACCCTCATGATTAAAGCTGAAAATTGTCCTTTAGTGAGAAAGTCACCCTCACGTAGAAGGTCAGCAGGCTGGATGGTATGCATTAGTATTAAGGAATTACAATTATGTCCAATTCCAATGTGTTTACTTAATCTATGCACCCCTAAAAGGAAACTGCACAACTAATTTCATGCGATATTATGAGTGTGCCCATTCTTGTGGCTTACGCTGCTTTGCATTGTTAAACTGCTGAAAACTGGGTCTTAGTGTACTTAGCTATTAAGTTAAATCTGCAAAAGCTTTGTTGGCATTAAAAGTGCGATGGGAGATTTTGTTCACAGATGCCAAATCACCTTAACCAGTCCTGTTTTCTCCAACAAACCAAATCCTCTGGTCTTCCCAACACAACCCTTCCCATGCAATCCTTTACACGTTACTACACGTCTTACCACTCAGAGTCCTTTCTCACAATCTTCTTAGAGATCACGTTCCCCTCTTCCCCTTCTTCCCTGCATTCTGCTCCTCTCCAATGTTACTTCCACTGCTGTTCTGATTTCATTGCATATTCTAAAACAGATAGTTTTCTCCAGCTTCTTTCTCCACACATTTTCATGGTTGAATTGTGAGAATAGGCCAGACAAGGGAAAAACAAAAGTTGCTAGCAGTGTAAGATTGAGAAAGACCCAAGACATCAAAGGCAGCAATAGGAGAGTTACACATATTTGACCTCCTGTACATCTTGATAATTATAAACCCTAAATTCTCTTTGAACTCTGTTATAACTGGTCTTTCCAGGTTCACAAAGGATCAGATGTGTAACCCCATTCTTCTGCATAACTTGCCTGGGAAAACCCTCATGGAATCTTTTGCAGGGTTTAGTATCTTCAGCTCTTCAGGGCACTCAGAAGGAACACATACTCTTTTATCTTCCAAACAAGGTGTCAAATTTAGTCAGAAATGTAGAATCAAGCTCTGTAGTTTCCCAAAAAGAAGTGCTTGAACCATTATCAATCTTTTTGTCTTTTTCCTGATCTGAGTTGTCTAGTATTAATAGCCCACGTGACACACTTCCCTTACCCCAATCCTTGTGTCTTCCAGACCATTATTTCTGTTCCACTTGGAAAACCTCTGTTAGAAGGCTTTATAAGTACAACTGCAGTGGAAGTTGTAGGGACCAATTAAAGAACTAACAGTTTGTCTTGTCTACAGCTTAACTCTGGACTAGCACTATTTTTCTTCTTTTCTTTAAATAAATAAAATCCACCAAAGAATCAAATATTTATGTTATCTATCGTATTGCATGTCTAATAAGATATCTCAAGGAATGCCTTTGTTTTGTTTATAAACCTTTTGCAAATACAGAAGTCCAGTTGGCATTAAATTCAGCATAGAATCATAGAATATGCTGAGTTGGATGTGTCCCATCAGGATATCATCAAGTCCAAATCCTGGCCCTGCACAGGACACCCCAAGACACCATGTGTCTGAGAATGTTGCCCCGAAGCTTCTTGAAATCAGACAGGTTTGGTGCTGTAACCACTGCCCTGGGGAATCTGTTCCAGTGCTCAACCACCCTTTGGGTGAAATACCTTTTCCTGATATGTAACCTTAACCTCCCCTGACTCAGCTTCATGTTGTTAACATAAATTATGTCCTACAAGCAGAAAAATTCTAAGGCACTTACTTGTGTTGAGTCTGTTTTGTAGGATTCATGTTTCCCTTGGATAATATGCTGTAGTGTTTGAAACCAAACTCACTGTTTAATTTTAGGTATTAATGTTGGGCCAGTAGTAGCAGGAGTCATTGGAGCCAGAAGACCGCAGTATGATATCTGGGGGAACACTGTAAATGTTGCCAGCCGGATGGATAGTACTGGAGTGCAGGGAAAAATTCAGGTGAGTGCATTCTAAGATAATTTTGCAACGTTTACATACTTCCTGTTTTACATATAGTTACATTTTCAAGACCACTTAGAAAATGCAGCCTCACTTTATCTTCTTCTAATGAAAAGGGCAACACTGTCCAGGTGACTCAAGCATCAGAGATCTAGTTGTTTTCCATCTTATACGCTTCACTCCTTGGAGACAATGAAATCCTTAAATAAATCATTTCCCATTAGAAGAAAGTTCTCTGTTTCATTGCACACAGTTGGAGGCAAGCCTGGGAATGCTGACACTGCCAGTCCTGGTACTGTAGAAATTTTGCCTGAATAAGACCTACAGGGAAAGGATCTATGTTTGTTTGCATCTTACTGCATTTTATGTAGCTTTAAAAATTCCTTTGATACTTTGGATTGGAGAGGCGATGCAAACAGAGAACATTGTTGTTCCACTAGGGCTTGGCTAGAACCTATGCTGTACCTTTCAAAACCTCAATGAACTCTTGCAGTCGTTTATCCAAAATACCTATTTAATCTCCAGGGATCAAAAGGACTTCTGCAGCAAATTAACATCACTGGAACTGATTGAGCTTACAATCTGGTTATACATTTCTGTTGGACGGAACTTAATCTGGCTGTGTAATTATTCGGTTCAAGACCAGAAGTTCTGCTTTGCAGATTCCAGTTAGATTGGTCATCTTTACTTCTTTAAGAAAATTCTAAGTAAGCCTGAGAGCAGCTGTAGGTGCTCATCCATTGTGCTTATGCATATTTCACGACAGAAAAGTAAAATAAAGAGGAGCAAGAAGTTACATGAACAGAAAAAAGTAACAGTTGTTTTTTTTTCTGTCTTCAGGTGACAGAAGAAGTTCAACGGATATTAAAAAGGTGCAGTTATGAATTTGTGTGCAGGGGTAAAGTCAGCGTAAAGGGAAAAGGCGAAATGTTGACCTATTTCCTGGAAGGAAAGGCTGATGGAAATAATTCCCAAACACGGTCTTTAAACTTAGAGAGAAAAATGTACCCTTATGGGAGGGCAAACATTCAAACAAAACTGGGCACCAGCTGTCCATCGGTGTCCTCAGTTGCTAGCTTTACTGCAAAACCTGGGCTTGGAGCAGGTCAAGCGTCTGGCAGTCACACAAATCAAACACTGCATTATCTTCCTTCTGTGCCAGCTGTGAAGGAGGCATAGAACAAAGGAGATTTGGTTGTGTCATCTGCAGTGAACTTGGAGAGCAATGGTTGACTGAATTTTTACCAAGAGGTCAGAGGTCATAGGCCATGGCATTAACCAAGGACCACTACAACCCAACCAAAGAGAACTTGGGGACTGTGTAACAAACTCTTGGGATGGAACATATAAGGGCTAGCAATTCTGTTAGGAAAAGTCAAAATGGGATTTTCTGGAAATAAGGAATATTTTCATGGCATTTTTAAAAGGTAGTTGAAAAAGATTAGATAAATGTGCAAGCAATTATTTATGTGTGTGTGTATATATATGTTTTAATCTATATATGCACATATACAAACAGTTCTGTGTAGACTTAATAGAGGTTTATAGAGATAAACAAAAAATGTGTATTTATTTACACATCCACCTGCAATGACACAGTAAAGAGATTTCTTTCTGTCATAGCCAGCATTGTGGGACCTGGGATTAGGAAAGCTTCATTTCACCATGGAATATGGGGCACCTGGAGATTCTCCAGAGCTACAGCAAGAGTTAGAGAAACTGTGCTCCCAGTGCATGAGTTAAAGCAATGAGAACAGTGTTTATTGTGCTGTCAATGGCAGGTTAATGAAGGCTGGATTCAGCTAATTACTAAACCCTATGTAATTTTTAAAGTTCTCCTTGCATGCTTCAAAAATTTCCAAAAAGTTCCAATCAAACCATAACACTAGGATATGAAGTAGGTAAACCACAGAGCTTAAAGTTCAGGCAGAAGAACAATATATATTCTTTCCATAAAACAAAAAAAAAAAAGAGTGGTAGAGTTTAGAACTTACTGCCTCTTTGTAGGTCATTTGACTCTGTGCAAGACAGAGGAGCCACCCTGCAAGCACAGCAATACGCTTATGCAATATAGAAACATTCCTTTATGTACAGTGCTGATTTTTCTGAGGAGCAGAAGGATGGTATTATTTCAGGCTTTTAGAAATAGCACAGGTCTGGCTCAGTTCCAGGATTAGCTTTACCTTTCTAAACAGCTCAAAGAATAGTCCTGTGCTGGTGCCAAACATGCTGTTGCTAGCTTTGTGACATTTGTATGTTTGCCAACATAATTTTACATCTTAACTGATTTTTAAATTTATGCCACAGTTTTATTATATCTTGATTCTATCCAGGCTCACTCTTCAAAGCTGTACAATTATAGAAAGCTATAATTCTGAGAAACAAGCACAGTCAAACTTTGCCCAAATGAGGAGCACTCTCCTGTGCCAGGAGAGTGAGGCCTGCTCTTAGTCTGCATAAAAGGGAACATATTTTGACAGCTTCTTTCTTTAATGCAGCCCACATCCTATTGTCCATGGTTTCGTCTTGAAATGCTGATTTGGATATGAAATGTGGAGTGCATCTCTGTACTCAAGGTGGGGGCAGTTGGTGGTCATCCTGTTGAGTGACATGTAGTCTATAGACCAGTGCCATACTGTCCTGATGGGGATTCACAGGTTAACTAACCTCACTGCTTTCCAAAAGAGAAGCAAAACTTTACATTGTCTAAAAACATGCAAAACATCCTTTTAACCAAAAAAAACCCAATCCCTGTTCCCCCTCCCAAAAAACTCAAGACCAAAAGCCACCACCACCACCACTAAAATGAAAAACCCCACCCTAGACTACAGAAGTTGTCCAGATTGTACAATAGAAAACTTGTGTACTAGATTTCACATTTCCCTTTAGAGGGCCTATTTTATTACAGATTTCAGTGGAAAGAAGATTCTGAGTGATTCTTCTGCAATCAGCTTTTACTTTGGAACAGTCACTGTTTGTGTCAAAAGTATATGGACAAATACTGTGTCAGCAGATGCAAATAGTTAAATAGATGTTAAATGAGTTTCTGTTCTTCATGTAGCCACATCAGGCTACTGTGGGACTCCAGTGGTTTTCAACAGGGTTTTAAATTAATTTTTATGTACCCTGTCAGCTAGGTGCTTCATTACAAAGCTAGCAAAGTTAGTGTTGTGATTAAAGTGACTATAAAAACCTGAGAACTGCTCCCTAACTGTACTGTACAGGGTGTCTGCATACTGGTTGGTCTGTAGAAAGTCACTGCATTTCTTTATCTCCCTAATAGCTATCCAGTTCACAGCTATTCTTCTAGAATAATTTATTTCTGGTTTTGAGGCATCCAAAGCCATTTAAATAAATACATGTAGAGAATACAGATATAAAAGAACAAATATTTACATAATTAAGCTGAATAAGTGGTATTCATGTAAAGCACACCGCATATTTATGTTGTCTAACTAGTTTGCAAGAACTAAATTATCATGGAGTTAAATATTTAACAAAGCTGGAAAGCATTATATGCAATAGCATTAATCACTCAGTTCCACTCTTAAAGATTCCACGCTACAGAATTTTTGAATCAGTGAGTTTGGTATAATTTCAGTGATAATAATAGAATGAAAGAATCTTCAGATTCTAGCATCAGATCTGGTAGTACATGAACACGTCAAACAGATACACTCATTGACTGACCCAAAAGTTTGCAATGAAATTATTTATTTGTTATTATTTTTATTAGGCCCACGAAATAGGCATCTTGCCATTGCTTCTTTGATCCCTAAATGGACAGCGAGCAGAAACAGATCCCCTCTGTTAATACTTTTGTGACTGCTCTCATTCACAGACCCATTCCCAGCGTGCTAATGTCACTGGAAGATCATGTAGCAACGTAAATTTGGATTATTTATTTTAAAAGATTAGCAGGTGTTAGTAGAAAAGGTCCGAAGATTTTCTAAGCCAGATCCTCCTTTCCAACAGCCAAATGAGGCATGTGACTTTTGTAAGAGTGTTTTCCATGTCAAATGGAAAGGACCAGACAGGCACAGTCCATCATCAGCTTCTCATTTGGCACTTTTGCAGGAGGTTTGTGCCTCCCAGAGCAGGTTGAGTGGACCAGGATGGCTTCTTGGTAGTGCAGGCAAGCTAGTGCACATGTGCTAGCTTACAGCATCAATTATGGTGTATTTGGAGTCAATTTCCAGACTTTTGAGTCATAGAATCATGGAATGGTTTGAGTTGGAAGGGTCCTTAAGGAGCATTTAGTTCCAATTCCACTGCCATCGGCAGGAACACCTTCCAATAGACCAGGTTAACACTATTCTCATTAAGTTCATCATCATTAACATCATTATCCTGTCATTAATGTTTTTCATATTTTTGTTATGGTTGTTGCTGGTTTTACTGTGGGGAAAACTGTATATTACTATGTAGTCCTCAACTGACCAGTACAAAGTCATGAAAAAAGTTCAGCCAAGACACAAATCAGTAAAAAATCATGTGAAATTGATAGGCAGTATTCAGCAGCCATTTCAACAGGGAAAACTAAATGCCCATTGAAATCATGATATGGTGCAGCTGTGCTTTTACCTTTATGCTTTCCCTCCCTATTTATATAATTTTCCCCATTTTCCTCTTCTTTGTAAATTTGTTTAAGTCCAGCTTTTGTGGGACAGCTTTAAATAGCATATTTAATCTCTCTGCTCTTCTGCATTCTTTGACATGTCAGTAGGTTTCATGTGTGGAAAGAGGGGGAAATATATATGGAAGTAATATTTACGAAAACCTCACAAATGCACATTTTCTGCCAAATTAGAGAAGCTATCTGAGGATAGTAACTTGTCACATTGTGGGCAGAATAGTCTGTACTTCTGTTCACTGTTTTGTGCAGCAGGTAGCTTGAAACAATTAACAAATATAAGCCCTACAACAAAGTGATGCCATTTTGGCATGTCAATGTCTATCAACAGCAAGCACAATATTTCACATAAATTTGCACATTTTCTCTTTCAGATAAGAGTAATAATTGAAGTCTTTCATTCTTTATATAAGGATATAAGCGTCAGAGATCTTTAGCCTTGGGAGTTAATTTCTAAGTGTTCCTATACTACCTTTATCTTCAAATGATTTTTTAATTATTATTCTCTGCTGAAATTGCAGACTGGTTGAATTACTGGCTAGATATTTCCAAACGTATTCCATTTACATTGACTAGAAAGCTATTTTATCCAGCCTGTAAAATGCGTAGGTTTTTGTAGCTGCTTCCCATTGTGGTAAGTCACACACCCTTATCTTCACCAAAACACATGTGAATGCTCCCTTGCTTTCTCTAGGTGAGACCAAGAGACAAAAGCTTCAACTTGTTAGGGCTGGATCTGCATCCCCTATGTACCCACAAGGCCTGCAGCAATCACCAGGAGTTTAGCATGCTTGTGAAGGTCAGGAGCTGAGCTTCTATAGGCCAAGTTCTTCTTTGGGTTATAATGATGTCTCATGTCAGTACTGAACTGAACATTTTAAAACACTGTAACCAAGAGTAGGTCATGCACCTAAATCTCTTTCACGCTTTTGCCTGTAATTTATCTGTAGGGCAAAATAAAGTACTTGGGAGTCACTGTTTTAAGGGAAACCTGTGCCATTTCAGTGCTTTGAGGAGTCTGAAAACATTAGTAAGTAGCATGAGTCATTTTCATTGGATTCCTGCTTGTAGCAGAAACAATGCATTTTCTTTACATCAGCAAGTCCAGATTCTGTATGTGTTCTGCCCAGGCAGGAGGACTATTTAGCCATAATGTTCTTTCAAGTTAACAGTTTTGTATTACAGTGAAAATCAACATTTTTTAATTTGTGATAAACCTGTATTATAATGCCTTATTTATTTTTAATCTTGTACAGTGTTACAAAACAACAGAAAACATAGGCCTTTCATGTATTATTCACTTTAAAAGATGTATTGTACTATGAAATTTTGTAAATAGTTTTAGCTTGGACAGGTAATTGCATGTACACTTGTATAAAAAGAGGCAAAAAGGCACACTTTTAACAAAAATTAATGACTTTTGTAAGAGACATTTTACATGTGCATGGAGATTATATATCCTTTGAAAATGGACGTCCTTTTGGTTTTCCTTGCAATCTACTGCATGCCATTCATGCCTGACTTCAGTAAAACAAAACGAACTAGCAAGTTTTCCTAAATGTTTTTAACATATCACTTCTGGCACAGTTAATCCACTAGTTGCATGTGCATTCAGCAAATCAAAATGCAAACAGCAAATAAAGAAGAAAAATAACTTAGTGATTGTGATCTGCCAACCTCAGTGTTCCAAGGTCCATAAAACGGTATATAAAAAGTGTTATCAACATCTAAGATGTCTTCATAAGGTACCTTCTGGTCACTAGAAGCAATAAACTACTTACTGTAATATAAAAAGCAAACAGATATTCTAGTTCATAATGGTATAATATCTCACATTCAATAGGTATTCTCTGATACTGCATTTTTTGTAGTATTTTCATCACGAAGGACCAAGTATCAAATCTGTCCTTGCTGTATGCAGGTGCAACACTATGGAAGGTAGGGGAGGTGAATTTGGCCCATTGATGTTACCCAGAGTATTCTTCTAATGTGGTAATAAGTTATTGTATGTGAAAAATACATCATGCAAACAGATTGTTTTCCTGGATACATACATACATATATATATATATATATATATATATATATATATATGTATGTATATTTTTATATATATAAATTAATTTTGTTGCCTTATTTCTGTTAGCTTTTTTGACTCATTTTCCAGATAGTTTCTATTGCTAAGCAGAAAGTATTTAACGAAACTACTAGGATTCATTGAATTTATCTGTCTTGGAGTAATCTGGATTCTGTGCTGATGCCATGCTTACAGTGATGCTTCCCTTAGGCATCACAGCCTAACCCTCAACTTGAGGCCTGTGTCAGCTAGTGACATAGGAATAAGAAATCAGTATCCAATCCTCTATCTGATTTTTTCCATAATGCTGCTAAACAAAACTTTAAATTCTGGAGGTATTTTTCATGCCTCATTTTTACAGTTGTCATATCTGTTTCACTACAACTCAGGATTACTTCTCAAATTACTTATATAATTGCTGTATTATAAATGAGGAGTGTTGGAGGAGCATAACACTGATTCTGGTAGCAAAGGAGAAAGGTCATGGAGTATGAATACTTTCTGCTTTGGATAAGGACTTCTTGTATTTTACAATTTGAACTAGTTTTATAATAAGACTCAGAAATCTGTTAATTTGTTTGTTTAATCAGGTGACTGTAGGGTTAATTAAGCAGTACAGCTTCTGCAAGTACTTTTGTCATCCTAAATTAAGATGTATATTCATATAATATATCCCTGTTGCCTGCATACAAGAATCACTACCTTGTGCTGATGATTTGCTTCATTGCAGTAGTTAATGGCTTCCAACAGTCATAAACTAACTTCTCTCAAATTCAGTGGGTTTTACATCTCACTGTAGCATAATTGTTGTGAATAATGACAATCTGGACACTGCTTCTCTACCCTAACCCTGCTTATGATTGGCTTTTTCCAGAACTCTGTGTAGACTATTTTTAGCTCTCTGTTACTTTTAATCCCAACTCTCACTGAATTTTCAGGCCAAATCTAAATCATTAATAAATACATTAATGTAAATAAGTATAAAAAGTACATAAAAGGGAGGGGCTGTTGTTGCTCTTTAATTACTTGTTAAAATATCACTCTGCTTAGGTGGCCTGATGTGACTCACAATCTGATAGGTGCAAGGACAAAAACAAGGAAAGAAGAAAAAAAAGAAGGACAAAGTTAGCAAGAGTACAAAATAACAAAAAAGGAAGCCTGTGAGATAGTGGTTACTGAAAGAAAAATGTGAAAGGCCATTAGTCCTTTGGAAGTCAGTGGTAAAACATGGGATAGGTCTGGAGTATCTGAACTGGCAGAGTACTCAGCGGGATTCGTATTACAACAAAAGTAAGGCTTTAATACCTGTTTTCAGATCATGAGGAAGCACTTTGAAATTTGAATTAGTATTGGTTAACATACATAACATATGTGCTGAAATGACTTGGTTTTGCTTGTGCCTTACTGCATCCTAGAGGATCTGTTTCTTTACATTAGGATCCCCTTTTTATGCCTTCAGTGGCATCAGATATGTCACACCTGCATAAAACTGAAGGAAGAAACAGTGCTGCATCACTGTGAAGCTTTTTTACTAATTTGTTTCCTACTTTGGTTTACTATGTACACACCTATGTAAATGCAAGGAGTGCTCCAATTATTTGTGGAGGTTGGCCATGCACAGGTATATGTGGGTCCAAGCTAAAGAAGGGTAGATTTCCTAGAAAGCTCAGCAAACACAGTAAGCCCAATTGTGTAGAAAATCTGTCAAGATAGTTTGGAGTTCCTTTGAAAAAGTTGGCTGCCCTCCTCTTTAGACAGGCTTATATGCAACATGTTGACTAAAAACATCCAGGACTGTCACATTTGCTAGATGTAGGTTAGCCTGCTGGTAGTAAAACAGCTATCAGTTCTTGTTGTGGGCTAAAGTGGGCTTTAATTACTGTGGTTATGCACACTATCGTGTCTTACTTTCAAGTGCCTGACCTTCTGATTTAATCCTAGACCTGTCAATAGTGGTATCAGTTATGAAAAATTTCAGCTGTCACATCAAATTTGCTTAGGTGATTTCTCACGTCTTTTGCTCCTTAGTGCACATGGGTGCAAAGGTTTTCTGTTCTTAGACTTCAAATGCCATTCAGGCAATATATCAATTTTCAATGAAATGTAGATGAAAATTAATTACCTGGGCATCACCAAATTGCTTCGTGATAATCATATTTTTAATTGCTGCAGTAGAAATCCTTCCTTGCTTGGAATTCCTGCTTTTTTGTAGTAACATTACTGGGGTTCAATTAGGAAAAAAAAATTAGTAAAATGATTGCACTTGGACAAACCAAATGATGAGTTTCTTTTCAACATTCAAGCAGCTGGTCATTACATGGACGTAGATTTGAAGAATGTTATAAGAAGAATGACAGCAATGCTTTTAGAGTTACTGTTCTAAAAGCCAGAATCCAAGAACAGTTACTATTTCTAGCACTAATAATACAGAAAATCTTAGAGCAGTGGTATTATTTTCAATGAAATTCTGACAGAGGTTAAAAACCTCTTCTTGAAGGTTCTTTTTCCATAATATACTTATGTGTAGATTTATCTGTGGGCAAACTATCGGTTTGTACACGGAATGTGGACAATGGTGCAAAACAGTGGTAATACATACATTTCACAGTTTCAAGCAGACTCAGCCAAATTTGACCCATCTCTTAAAATCCCTGTGGCTAAAACTTGTGTCATAACTGACATCTGTCTGGATTTTATCCTACTGGTAAGCTCTTGTATTCTTGCTGTCTGAAGGTTAATTTCTGCCCTTCTAGTATGTCATTATACATTCTGCTTGGAAATGAGATGCTAAGTATTTTTCCAGTCTGTTAATTTAAAAGATTTAAAAGTGTTTTATAATTAATGTTCAGCAGCCTAAGGTAGGAAGCAAAAGACCACATGGCCCATGTGTTCTGCAATCAATATTAGCCTGCCTACACATGATGACAGAGTATATTGTAAGCTTATTTATGATTTTAAGCATCCTATATATATTTAAATGTAATAAATACCATAGCACTAAGAGGAGAAGGAGCTAGGCATACCTACCTGCCTCTTAACACCACATAAGTCTTCTTCAGACATAAAAATGTGACCTGCAGCTTCTTGAGAGATTGATGCCCCTTCTACCCTTAACTCACCTTCAATGTGCCATCATATATTTGTTTAGGTGTTCACTGTCCAGTCAGGCCTGCTTTACCATCTCCCTCTATAGGCTGTCAAACTTTGTTTTCAAAAAGAAAATATATTTTTTAAAAGTAGATTTTTCATATAATAGATGTTTAGGGGAAAAGAAATAGCTTTGACATAATCTGGGTAGGAAGCAGTAGATGTGACAGTAAAACTGAAAGGGCAGAGTGGTGGGAATGCAGGTGCCAGCAGCTGGCAGCAGGCAGAGCAGCATCTCTGCTGATGGGCCCAAAGAAGAGACACAGATAAGCAAGAGTGGGGTAGCCTAATTCATGTTCCCTAGCAGTTTACCAAACCTGTGCAAACCTATTTCAAAAGCAGTCCTGTTGTCTGTGCCTGGATGCCACTCTTTATTAAAATATTAGAGTGAGGAAGGATACTGTCTTGGAGTATTATAAAGCTGGTTGAATTGAAACAAGTGGAATCTTATCAGCTGTTTAATCTGCAGTTGTTTGCAGCAAATTCTGCATTGCTTCTCAACTAACTTGAATATTTGCTTGGACTTTGTGGAAAAAGAATTATTTGCATCCAGTAGAGATATTCCGTTCCTCAAAGGGAAAACCAAATGTATTATTCTCTCCATTTAATTGGCATAAAAAGTTTCAGTAGAACTTTTTTTCCTGTTTACAGCCATAAAAATAATGAAAATATTAACATCAGTGATTATTGAATTATTAGATTAGGCCTTATTCTATTGTCTATTCCTGCCCCGCTGATGTCAAATAGGGTGTTACAGTGACTTCAAAGGGACCAGGAGGAGGCCCACTGTATCACAAAAGAAGCATCTACATAGGTAAAATGAATAGTCCTAGCTCTAAGGAATGAACTAGTAAGTCAAGATGTCATTATTCCAACTATTATAGCCTACTGAACCTATAAATAACAATAGCTATACCATAGCTATACCATACTATATATGTATGTATATACAGAGTACAATACAATAACTTAACACTGGGTAACTTCTAATGATTGATTTGCATTAATAATACGGGTCTATTTTTATGTAAATAGAATACTGTAGAGTATCTTCCAGTCTTTTTCAGGATTGTTAAATTGAGAAGAGCAATTGAATATTTGTCCTATTTTTATGTTAAAAAGTGAATGGACTGAAATGTTAAATGTGAATGTAAATTTCTTATTGCAACTTTTATACTGAGTGTTTGCACTATCATAATTTCTGGAATCTAATTAAAAATAAAGGAAAAAATTGCTTGAATAAACAGCTTTTTGAGATTATTGATTTGTTTTTGGTTTGGCTTTTTGTGGGGAGTGGGGGGGTGGGAGTGGTGCTGTCTTTCAGAGGGTCCAGCTGCAGTTTCTCTGTTTTCAGACTAAGAACATGCCCCTAGAAATCCTCCAGTTTTGCTTTCAGAATTGCTGTGAACTAAAGAACTTCATGGGAACAATTCAACTCTCTTTTGAATCCTGTTGATTTTCTGCACTGACCACAGTGGAAGCCAGCTTGGGCCAAGTGTGCCATTCATTGTGCAAGCAGAGGAAAGTAAACTTGCAATAACTGGCAAAATACCAGCCACATACACCAGAAGACGGGGAGGAGAAGCTCATCTCTCGCTTTTCACAAGACAGAAATAATTGGTCAGCTTGGGTCAAGTGTAGATTTTGGCAGTTTATATTCTGCAAGATACAGAGCCAACCTCAGTGCAAAAATGTGTAGGTTAACTTAAACTTTATTTGAAAACTGATAAAGTTGTATCAGGTAACATGCCTTGCAAGAGACTCACTAAGCTTGAGTAATTCAAATTAATATGATTGTACCACTTCCGAATTACAGCAGACTCCTATTTGGCCAGCTCAGAGCAGAAGCAGAGGTGCTCAGGTGCCTCATTGCTGTCCATGCAAATATGGCAGTTTTATGCTAGACAAAGTCTCCTCAGCTGTTGTTCTTGGAGTGTGAGTTGTACGGAATTATTGTGTTGACAGGGAGTGTGATGGAAATGTTCTTGGTTTGCTCTTGCACCATTGAGAAGTGTTTGAGGCCTTACATAGCCATTTTTTTTTATCTTTTACCTCTGAAAGACAGCATGCCAAATCTTCAAGTGTCAATCAGAATAACTGCTAAAGTCAAAAGGACTGAAAATCTGGCCTTCATCTTTCATTGAACCTATTCTGCCACATTGGTACGTTAAGGCTTCCTCATAATACTAAAATGTGTAACCCTCCCAGTGTTGTTTTGGGGTATTTTATGTACATAAATACACACAGAGCTTTTTATACTTGTGTAAAAGTATATTTTATACTTGTGTACATATATGTACACTCACATACATATATGTTAACAAGATATATTCTGGATTAATGGCTCAGGTCATGACTTGGAAACATTTTTCTGCCATGCTCCATTACATAGCTGAGTCACTTCAGAAACAGTATGAAAATTTATTTTTCTTAAAGAATGAGGCAGTATCAGTATTAGATTGCTTATATCCTCTGGTAGCACTTTTGGACATGAGGAATTCCAGAAAGACTTCATTTCTACAGCATAAACCCAGGACTAAAGCTGGGGTTCTTGTCCAAAAGTATTACCAGAGGATAGTGTTGATTTGAAACAGGCAGAAGAGGAGCATAGAAAATGAGAACACTATGTACATCCCCTATTGTGTACATTGGTGCATTGCCATTGTATCTATGTCAAAGTCTTCCAGTTTTGCAGCCGTTCCCTCGAGCAATGGGTCACCTAATGCCCTGTTTCTGCTGGTAGAATATGATGTTCAATGGAAAGAAACAATTATACAGGTAATGGACCATATTCTTGTTTGGACTATTCTGATGAAAAAAAAAGTCACAGCTGTAAAGTGAGCCACATAGGAGAAATTGTTTGTGACAATTTTAGCTCTCATTAAACCCACTGAACTGTGAAGAGAGCATTTAAGGGTGGGTATCTTAGGGTATAGTCAGGCTACTTAGGAGCCCTGATCTGATCCTAAACATCCAGTCCTGCACAGATTATTTCTGCTATCAGTTTCAGCAGTAGTTTGCATAGGTTTCCACGGTCAAAGCTCAGAGAATAGAAACTGGTTTTTAATATTACTTTAATATGAGCCTCCCAGGCTTATGCTGTTCCTATATTTATAACCAGACATTAGTTGGCTATTAGATTTATCCATAGAGAGCTAGCAATGAAGAAGTAGAAAGAGCTAATGATGAAGTAGTCATTATTATCATGAATATTTACATTGAATATACAAGGCATAGTCTAAAGATGGCAATGATGGCTTTCATAGAGGCAGCGTAACATATCAATAACTACACCATCACAGATGAAGCAGATGATCTTTCCTACCAGAAATGCTCTGCTTCACTAGGTCAGTGGGACTGATGAATTCATTAGCTTTCCCTCGTCTCAGACCACCTGGGGATTCATCTGCACAATTCTACTGCAACAAGAAAGAGCCATTGATACTCACCTGGCCTTACCTCCTGCTCAGGACTACACTCAGTCTGGCCACACTACTGCACTGCACAAACACAGCATTTTTAGTTTATTATTAGATGTAATAAAGTAAAATAAATCCATCATTTTCTGGTCGCTGAGAGATTTGAAGTCAGACATTTGTTTGCCATTGGCCAAACTGTGCTCATACTGTTGCCAAAGGTCATGAAAGCAGCACCAACTGTTTTCCCCTGAACTCTATAGTTACTCTGTATGTTTACTGAACTTTGGCATTACTGTTATGTGCTCCTCAGCAGCACTGCCAACATAGTTAGAAAGGAGCAGTCATATCAGAAAAGACACAGCAAGTTACTGAGGAAAGGTCCCAGTTGAACATTAACTCAGATTGACTTGTGGGGTGTAGAAACATGTAGAAAGTGTATAGGACACCAACTAGTGAATAAACAACATGCAGGCAGAACACGTTGTGGCACTCTGGTAACAATGAAGTGCATAAGCATATAATGAAGAGGAGTGATTGACGTAATTACAAAGGCAGGTGGTAACGCATTGATTTTATCAAGGTCAGTGACTTCTACTGCTATTAAAGAGTACCTGGTTTCTTACTACTGAGGGAATTAGACTTTTTGAAGTCAAATATTGATCCTCCAGACTTCTGTATA